CCGTCCAAGTGTCATTACTGTTGAATTGGTGCGTTGCTCACCATGAACGTTGGTGGGGCTATCTTTTCATGCCCTTCCACTTGCGTAACATAAGTTCCATGCTCTGAGTTAAGTTAAAAACTATCTATTTTATAAGTGATAATCATTAATTATCACCCACACAACACAAGAAGATCTTTGGAATATCTTGGGGATATTCCTGTGGGATATGGGGGATATCCTCTGTAAATCCCTCAGCAAAGTCCTCAGAGTTTCCTGGGGAACTCTCTGGGATATCCCTATGTCTGCCCAAATCCTGATCCCTGGGATACCCCATCATACATAAAAACGCAAAATAAAGATTTAGTCTGAAAATCACTAAAAGAAAGGTAAAAATAAAATAAAAAAATAAATGAAAATAAAATGTTAGTTGAGTATTTTGATTAAATATTTAATAAAAACAAATAATAAAAAAGTTACCTCGCCACAGCAACCCTGCAAACTAAGCAAATTTCCAATTACCTGACTGGATTTCAACTAAAATATTCCCTAAAAATTGTGAGATTTATTTCCTATATAATTAACATTAATTTTAGTGAGTACTTAGGTTTGCTTATACAGGGAAAATATTGAGATGTGTTTTTTTTTTATTGCAATGTTGATAGCTTAGTTTTAAATAAACAAAATTTCCAAATTTGGTTTTTAAATATATCTATAAACAAGCAAACTACAACAAGATTATTAATTATCCATAAGAATAACATGGGAGTTTTAAATTTATAATTTTTAAATTATCTCTGTAACCATTGGGCATACAACAACGCTTCAATATACATAATTATTTTTTTAAGGGGCAATATACCCAAAAATACTTTTTCCTTATAAATGGCCTAATTTTTTTTAAATTTATTAAAGTGTATCCTAGTGCAAAATTAAAAAAAAACATATGGTATGAACCCCCCCCCCCCTTCTCTTTTGGGCTTACAACTATCCATGAAGGGGGGGGGGGGTTTAAAAAAAAACATACGTTTACGTTTTACAGCATAACTCCTTTTGTTTTGATGTTTATTTGTTTTCACGTCCAGTGCCTTTGGATGACTGAAATCTGTCATCGCATGCTGATTGGTTCCTGGAATCTGGAACCCAATTTCAGCTGTCTCTAGTAGACATTTCTGAATTTCGATATGACTAATCAAAGTCATTTTAAACTTAATTGAGGTATAATTAATAATATACATAGTCTCTGTGAAATCTTGAAAACTCCTTTTGTATGTTTCAAAGCTAAAATAGCCTTACAAACTGTAGCATGGCTTTTCATATGCTATTGAAAATAGATTAGAGACATTTTGTTTAAATTTTTGGCAAAATTTCGTCAATTCTTTATAAAAAAAATACGTAAGGAGTATTGTTAACAATATGTAAATTTCCATGCTACTGTTTGTGTACAATATATTGAAGAACATATACGTACAAAATTTGACTTCTCTAGCGAAAAAATCAAAAAAGTTATGCCGTAAAACGTGATGGAAAACACTAAAAAAGAAATATGCGGGAAATAGCAAAAACACTTTGCTTCCAATAGGCGCCTGAAAAGAAAAAAAACCAGCTGTGCACAATTAATTATGAAATTTAATCTAAAAACTATTTTTCCTACAGTCACCCGACAAAGTTGGCTTCCTTGTACTGTTTGTAGTACAGAAAGCTGCTAATTGCTGCATATTTATACTTTGTCGTACGGTTTATACTTTGGCGCACAGCACATCAGGATTCCAACGAAACAACACAAAACAGCGTGTGGTTCTAGCCTATTATGCACGTAATCCGTGTGCCGTTTCGCGCTTCGGTGGGGCACACGGAAGATTTCTCAGGTGCCGTTTGACGTCACTAACTGCTGACGTCACTAACTGCTGACGTCACTAACTGCTGACGTCACTAACTGCTGCGTCCGAAGAAACAGACAATTTTATAATTTTCTATTATTAAATTAAACTGTCATAACCTAACCAAACTAACCAAACGTGCTGATAATGGAAAAATCGAATAAAGGTTTACTAATCGAAAAAATAGTTTTGTTCATAAAATAAAATTATAATTGCCTAAAATTCAATTTTATAATTTTTTAATTATAAAATTAAACTGTAATAACCTAACCAAACCAACCAAACTTGCTGATATGAAAAAAATGTTGATAAAAAGTTAGTCCCACCGGCGGGATTCGAACCCGGATCATTTCCGGATTATCAGCCCGCAACGCTATCCACTGCACCACCGAGGCAGATGGCTCAAAACCGTATCGTCGGTATTGGTGTTCCCTCAAAGTGACGTCAGCAGTTAGTGACATCAAACGGCACCTGAGAAATCTTCCGTGTGCCGTTTCGCGCTTCGATACAGGTAGGCAACACTTAAAGATAATAATACTATGAGCAGCTGATTGACTATTTAACTACGATTTAACCTGTCATTTCGTGTTTATCGTTTCGATAAACTCGAAATGACAGGTTAAATCTTAGTTTTTTTTCTTTTTTTCTGAGCCCTTATAAGGCTTGAGGCTTGGATAATTACTCCACGTAGCCTATTAGATGACTATTACTCACTGAATTCTTCTGTGGTTGTCTTTGGGCATTTGACACTTTCTGTAACAAAGGTTGTGTTATGTTAGTTACTCAGTTTACATTTATGTGAAATGTGAAAGTTTCTGTTTTTATTTTGAATAGTCAATCAGCTGCTCATAGTATTATCATCTTTAAGTGTTGCCAACCTATTTCCAAGCATACACGGATTACGTGCATAATAGAACCACGCTGTTTTGTGTTGTTTTGTTGGAATCCGGATGTGCGCCAAAGTATAAACCGTACGAGAAAGTATAAATATGCACCAATTAGCAGCTTTCTGTACTATAAACAGTACAAGGAAGCTAACTTTGTCGGGTGACTGTAGGAAAAATATGTTTTAAAGTCACTTTTTTCTTTACATTTTTCAGAATTTGAAAGAATTTTCATGGTCAGGAATTAAATTTTCAACAAAACAATCTTAAGCGATTTCCGAAAATCGCACTCCTTCCACCTTCAAAAATCGTTCTACTTTTAAAATATGTAAAATTTCTCCGATTTTACGGTTTTTTAAAATTGAACAAGCATGCCAGCTAGTCACACTTTTGAAAAATACTTGTTCAATAAGTTTATTTAGTATTGCCTTGCTTCAGCCGCTCCGTTTTTTTTAAATACATATTATGAAGTCAAACGAGGTGAAGCCCGTGGGTAACAGCTAGTATTCATAACTCATTATTTTTTTGAGCTCCGGTGTTGAAATCTGTAAATTTGTTTATCTTAATCTTTTATACCCCTATGTTAATTGTGCAAAATATGAATAAACACGCGTTAAAACCGTTAAAAATGGTTGATTTTAAAAATATTTTGCAATTTGCAATTTAATAAAAAGGTTTTTATTAAATTTGAACAACTTATTTTAAAAAACATCCGTTTATAAACGGTTAAAGAGTCTTTATTCAGTTTTTGCACAAACATAGTGCTCTATAAGATAAACATTTTAATAGAGTTTCACTGTCGTAGCTCAAACAGTTAATAAGTTATGAATATTTTTGTAAAAATCACATACAGTACATACAGCTATCACATACCTACACATCAAGCAACCACATACATAGTTAGATAGACCGAAAACGGAATGAGATAGGAAACATGTTATAGTTATATTACATTTTTTGTTTCTTTGGCATGCTCGATGCTCTATAACGGGACAAAGTGGGTTCACTGTTCATATGGTTGCAAGACCATGGTATTTACTCAGGGGAGGTATAGAAGAGGCTACGATGACAGCTGAGGGCTTCTTATTAGCTGAGGGAACGCCATTACCGTAACAAAACGGTCTGTAGCCATCGGCTTCGGTGGCCTAATGGTTAGCGTGCCGGGCTGATATACTGCAGATCCCGGGTTCGAATCCCGCCGGTTGCATTAACTTTTTGTCCAAGATTTTTTATTTTCAGCAAGTTTGGTTGGTTTGGTTTGGTTATTACAGTTTAATTTTATTATTAAGTCATTATACAATTTTAATTGAGCAATTTCTAGTTTTATTTTATAAACAGAATTATTTTTCCGATTACTATAAACTTTTGTTATATTATATCTTTATCAGCAAGTTTGGTTAGTTCGGTTAGGTTATGATAGTTTAATTTTGTAATTAAGAATTAATACAATTGAATTTTAGGCATTTATAATTTTATTTTATGAACAGAACTATTTTTGCGATTAGTAAACCTTCATTGCCAAAGTGCTCTCTACTACAGCGCTGTTCACGGAGGAATTTTGAACTAAATGCCTCATTTGTACCTCCCCTAAGTCAGACCCCAAGACCATGGCCAAGAAAGGTGTAACCATGTTTTATCTATGGTGTAACCAAGTGACCAACCACGACCAACCCAGTCTGTTCCTGTTTTAAATTAACAGATGAAAAGCAGCCAAAATGAAAATAATTAACAATATTGCACCTCGCAGCTGTATAGTTTGTAGCAAGCATTTAAAACTGGCAAAAAAACACCGCCAAATAAAAATTTTACTTTAGACAAAAAACAAAACCAAACACTCACATGATTCATTCTAATTCCAATCCTTGGGTTCTTCATTTATGGGCCTCCTTTTCGGGATAGAAATGCTTGACACTCCCGCCCCGTGACAGCCCTCAAGCGAGTAGACTCCAACCCAACCCCTATCCCATCATGGTCTTAGAATCCTACTAAATCCCATCTATTATCTGACACACACAAAAAAAAAACCAAAATTAAATTTGCCACCAAACTAAATCAATATCCTCAACAATTCCAAGTCAATACTAACAAAAACTCACCAAATTCTAATGAAAACCACAGAATCCTCAAATAAATTAGTGCACAACGAGGCTGCATATAATATAATCCTGCTTTCGAGCAAATAAGATAAAAAAAATAGGTATATATAGTCAATGCTTTTAGCCAGCAGCTTAGCTGATTTGTTTAGGTTTGGATTAGGTTATGTTTACATTGGCTACTTGGCTCGGCTCGCGTTAAGTTATTCGCATGGTGGGTCGTAAATTTTCACTAAGCTGTTTTATTAGTAATGTGAATGGTGTTGTTTCAATTTTTGGCTAGCAAAAACTAAAATGGGTTCCTCTGGAGAACGGGTACAAATCCGGCTAGGAACCCCAAATACAAGTTCTAAGCAGATTGGATTACCAATAAAAAACCTTGAGGTAGGCCTAACCTGAATAAATAAGAGTTTTGGGTAGCATAAACATAGGCATAGGCCAGTTCAACCCCAAGAGGGGAATTATTTATAAACTGAAATATTATAAAAAAAATTTGAAATATTGAAATAGCCTACTGTTAATTTTGGTAGCCTAATGTGTGTTTTGATGTTTTAGCTTGCAGTTATAGCCTATTTTCAGTAGTTTATATTATCACGTTGTTAATATGGAAGTGTACCCGATTTTTTTCCGTTTGTTAAGTTAGGGCCTAATTAAATTTGATAGGCCTATAAACCGTCCTGTGTGCCTAGTGTTTAATTAAAGAGGATCTTAATCTTTAAGACTCATATTCATATCTCAGTTAAATTAAGTACCGTATTGGCCTTCACCTATTTTGAACACTTATTTCCTGTTTATAAGACTTATTTGTAACTTGCAAGTAGGAACTGATTTTAGATGCAATAACGTAAGAAAAAGCTCAGTGATGGGAACTATCACTACTTAATTAAACACTACTGGATGTGCCTAGGGTTAGGTTTGCAAGATCGCAAAGGAGCTATAATACAGTGGCAATTCAAATTTTTAATAAGCTGCCTCACTCGATCAAGCGTCTTGGGCGTAAACTTTTCATGAAGAAGCTCGTCCCTCTCCTTAAGTCAAGAGCGTACTAAGTTACTCACTAAAGGATTTTTTTGAGGATAGTTTTCCTGAATTGTCTGACTAAACCGCATATCCACATGCCAAAGTTTTTGTAAATATTTATGTTTGTATCTACTCGATTCAGTTGTTTTTAAATGTATTTTTGTATATATTGAAATTCTGACGCCATCAATCCCTTATTGGGTAAAAGATGAAGACATGGTAATAAGGTAATAACTCACTACCGGGTAACTTAATTCCAAACAGCCGTTACCTCCCAGTATAAGCAAAAATAACTGTTCATACAGCCTGCAGATTATCTGTCAGTTGCTGACTGAATGAGATGAAGTTTAAATCATTTAATTTTCCACACACTTCACAGTAAAGTTGCGTTCATACAAGGCCAGTAAACTTAGAGCAGGCAGGTTTCGGGGCAGGTTATTTCCCTTCAAGTTACATGAGGCAAGTAACCTGCCCGCAAACTGGCCTCGTGTAAACGCGGCTTAAGCAGCTGGTTACTGGACTTTTTGTATAAGATACTTAGTTGTTTTGTAAGTTACCGTACAGAAAAGATCAAGTTCAGCTGGAGCTTGGTAACTTATAGCTATTTTTGTAACTAGTGTGCGAAGTGGCACTTTGATGCACATAAGAGAAATGATTAACTTACGCACAATTCACAGGCGAGTGTGGAAAGTTTCCTGAGTGCAGCAAAGGCACTTTGCACTCGCGTTACACATTATATTTTTCCTTCAGTTAACTTACTATAAAGCATATAAATAATTAGTCTTTCAAACACTATACACCACGTTTTTAGGTTAGGTTAAATCCAACCGTTGAACTAAATGGGAATCACTGCTCCAGCTGATTCTAGTTGTAGTATCTCTAAGTTAAGTGTTGCCAACTTATTTTTAACCGAACACAAATTACATGCCTAGTAAAAGCACGATTTTTGGTGTTGTCTGGTTTAAATCCTGGAGTGTGCTAAAAGAAATGAGTGTGGCAAAAGTAGGCTAAAGTTAGTGCGGCAAAAGTAAGTACAGTAGAACCTCTTTAATCCTTAATAATTGGGACCAGGGGTAGTTCGGATTATTGAATATTTCCGATTACAGTACATTTTGTTGTTTTTACATAATAATAGCTAAAATGGCTCTTAATTGTCACTGGAAGAGTGAAAAAATGCTTCACAAAGTATAATACAGTGTTTAAACAGTATTAATACAGTAGTAAACATAGAAAATAAACAGTAGGCCTACTGTAAATTACAATAGAAAAAATTACGGTGCGTATGTATACAATAAATAACTACTGTACTGTGTATAGAGTACAGTTCAATGAGGCGTTCGGATTAGTGGAAGTTCGGATTACGGGGGTTCGGATTAAAAAGGTTCTACTGTAAATACTTTGCGTGCTATAATACGTGCAAGGAAGCCTACTTTAGTCAGGTAACTGTAGGAAAAGTTTATTGATCACTCGGACGTACAGGGCACTTTATACTCGCCCACTCTAAATCTTAAAATTAGCGAAGAGTAACTTAACTAGCCCTAAGTTTTAATGATAATTTGTGATCAACTTAGGCCTATACCTGATGAGCGTATGTTAAGGTAACTTATAAGTTTAGTGTTGTTTGACATCATACAATTGTTCATTCTCTGTTCTCAAATTATAAATTCCAGGCCTAGTGAAATTATTATTTTACTTAGTGATTTATTCATGATTTTTATTTACATGTAGGATAAATGGAAGCTGGTCCCTGCTTTTCTGAGTATAAAAGGATTGGTAAAACAGCATATCGATTCATTCAATTACTTCATTAATACAGAAATCAAGAACATTGTAAAAGCAAATGAGAAAGTGCTCAGTGATGCAGACCCTCTCTTCTATGTCAAGTAAGCAATGAGTTGTCCTTAATTTGTTATTCCTAAAGTTTTTATTCTGTAACTTGGCATCTTCTTTAGCTGTATTTTCTGTCAAATTTGTAATATCCTTAGTGGAACGTTTAGGGTGTAATAATTAAACTAACAACTACATTTGGGAATTAATAAATCCTGGCCGACTACATGTTTAGGCCACGGTTTGCTGGAATCTTGAGGACTGGAGAGCAAGGAAACTTTTAGATCGGCGATTGATGCAGGGAGGGAATAGTGGCGTGATGGGTTGTAGCCAAATCCGGGAGCTTTATTGAAAACACACGATATGCCGTCACAGTCTCCTGATTGCAGTCAGGCTACAAATGCAAAACATATTGCCAACTCTTTTATAACATAACATAAATATGAATATGGTATAAATGACAACATAATGCTACATTATTGTACATACACTACATATATATAGGTTGTCATCTTTTCAGTATGTGATATCTCTTGCAGTTTAACTTACATCATCTAAAGTTGTTATTCTTTTAAGATGGTATAAAAAAATAAAATAATTAAGATGGTAGATGGCTTCTTAATTGATTGAAATGCTACTGATACTAGCTTTTGGCTGACTATTTATATGTCATTTTATATGAATTCTAACTAAACAATGATAAAAAATCATTTCATTTTACAGAGTTTAATATTTTTAATGCCCTTTGATGTTTACATAGGTACTTAAATATATATGTTGGCACACCTGATGTAGAAGAAGGGTTCAACATCACCCGGAAAACATCCCCTCATGAGTGTCGTCTGCGTGATCTGACGTACTCAGCGCCTATCACTGTGGACATAGAGTATACACGAGGCAGTACTAGGGTAGCCAGGAGTAACCTTCTTATTGGCAGGTATGAATGTAAACAATTACAGATAGGTATTCAGTTAAATCATCTTTAATGTCATCACTGACAACAAAAAAAAAATGATAAGTTATTAAGAGTGTAATGAGACAATTATTTTAGCAGAAAAATTTTGCTTGATAAGATTTTAAAAGGGAAAAGTCCTTGACTCTACTCTGAATAATATGGGTCTAATAAGATCCTTTCTAAGATTGTGAGTCTTTTTAGTTATAAGAGCCTAAGGAGATAAACATAGGGCCCAGTCTGTAATCTGGTGTTTAGGAAAAGATAACCTAATGGACTTGTTAAGAGGTTACTATGTTAAATCTATCATATTGAACATGTGCATTTTTTCAAAGCTAAATAATGGGTCAGTACATTTTTTACAATAAGAAGAAGTTAGCGGCCTCTATAATTTATAATTTGTCCGTTCACATAGAACTCAGGCCCGTGCGTGGAGCATTTCCTCCTAAGCAAGGGGTGAGCCAGTACTGTAAAATGGTGAACTGTAACATTTAGTGACAAGTACGGGGTAAAAACCATTGACTTTGCTGTTAAAGTTTCAAAGTCTGTCGCTCTACCAACTGAGCCACCTTCTCAGCACACCTTGTAGTATTTACTACTAAGTTTACTCTTTCTCATTATTCTGTATACAAATGACATTACTAGCGTAGCCTACATTGTTAAAAATGGTCCAATAGAAATTGTATATTAATGACTAATTATAGCTCTTGTATAACATTTTTTCAATATCGATTTGTCAATATTGCTTAAAATTTCATTAAACGCCAATTTAATGTGGTCTTACTTACTTGTTTTTTCTCAATAAAATGAAATTAAAATTCTTGATTTTTTGCTGGCAAAGCTAGAGCCACACGGCCTTTTCTTAAACTCAACCTGACTTCTGGTTTGATCGTGAACTTTGATCATCCATTTTACCCCTAGTATAAGTAAAGATTACTTAAACACAAGTTTGATACGCTATATAAAACTATATTAATTTAGTAGTAATAAATTCATTTAATTAATTGTAGAATTGTCATATGACATACATGAACCTTAAAAATTGTTTAGTACATAATTGTTTTTGTTTTAGGATGCCCATAATGCTACGAAGTTCAAATTGCGCGTTATACAAGAAATCAGAGTACGAATTGTCAAAGCTGAATGAATGTCCTCACGATCCTGGTGGTTACTTCATAGTTCGAGGAACTGAAAAGGTATCATGATTCCTTAATTGTATTTTGAAGAGAACGGTTAAAATATATTTTCTTTAATGTAGGCTACTATTAGTGTAACCGAACACAGTCTCCCAGTAGGCGTCTTAGGCTGGTAAGCTAAACCTAGCCTGTTTAAGATTGGCTGCATGCACTATATTTTCTCTGCAGTCACCACTAGATTGCCCTTGTCAATTTACCGTAACAGTAATTCACTGTCCTCTGATCAGTAGTGTACGCAGATTAATAGGTATTTGGTGAGGTTCTGGTATTATAAAAAAACAAAAACAGGAACAACGAAACAAAAGAATAATATCAATGATTTTATTTAAAATTATTGTTAAGTTGATGAGACCAGTTATTGGCCATTTAGTTGTGGTAACTGGATGTGTGAGCTAGGGTCACTCAGTGACATTTACTATTCATGGAAGTGTTAAACGCTGGAACTAGATCACCGTTGTTTGTGCACCCGATTGGTTAAATGTTACAGTGAATAATAAATAATATTGTGGGATTAATTTAAACACTAAAAGTCACTTTAAGACATATTTTCCATAGTATGTTTTATTTAGGCTTATTAATTTTCCAGGTGATTCTGATCCAAGAGCAGTTGTCTCGGAACAGAATGATTGTAGAGGAAGATCGTAAGGGAGGGATCCAATGTCAGGTGACCAGTAGCACTCACGATAAAAAGTCACGAACTAACATCATCATGAAGCGAGGCAAATACTACTTGAAGCATAACCTGCTGCAGGATGTAAGTGGGCAAGAAAATTCTTATTTATTATTATTTTCCATGGATTATCTCACCAAAATCAAAACATTTTAGCCTAGGTGTTAGAAACCATAAATTGATTTTGCTGATGGAAATTATATGTTTTTAGTAATCAAATTAAGGTAATCTCAAATTGAAGGTGCTAAAATTGTGAGATGTATTTATTTATTCCAACGGACATCTCCATTTTAGTGCAAGTGTTTATCCGCTTAGCAAGGTGACTTCGACAAAGCATTGCTCATCAATGCAAGGAAGGACATTTAATATTGATCATATTAGACATATCAAAGTCTATGGTGACTGGAAGTATTGTTGGTAAAGGGCTCTTAGGATTAGGTTTTTAATTAAGTTTAAGAGGGAAAAGAACACTATCTTTTGAACAGAATGAGTTATTTGTTTAAGTATCTTAGCCAGTGGGATTTTTTATGGAAGAAATTGAAAATCTTCTAGAAAAAAGTGAAATGTTTTGAAACTTCACTTGTTACCAATAGTATAACATAGACCACACATAATATTATGTGTAGGCCTATATATAAATAAGATAAGAAAGATAAAGATGACAACAAATAAAAACATTTTGTTCTATTCAATGAATATTTTAGTAATCACAGGGAGTTAAAAGCTAAGAGCATAGATTAGCACAGTGGTTAGTGAGACAGTGATCTTCAACTATATTTTTTGTTACAATTACAAAATTGTCTAGTAATAAAAGTACAAGCCAACCGTACAAGACTTTTACTTAAGTTGTTGGTGATATAAAGCAATAAATGTTTGTAACCTTCTACTGGTTTCATTCAGAAAGTGAAAAGTTCTGATGTGTTTGGGTCATTGCAGGATATTCCCATAGTGGTGGTATTCAAGGCGATGGGCTTTCAGTCTGATCAGCAGATCGTTCAGATGGTGGGGACGGAACAGGAGATCCTTAAGAAATTGGCTCCTTCCATAGAAGAATGTTATACTGTGGATGTATTTACTCAAACTCAAGCACTTAAGTCAGTAGGCCATTTTGATTTAGCTTTGCTTAGTAAAATTAGTTGACTATTTTTATATATTTTTTACGTCATGCTCAAGTAAGTTGGTCATATTGTTTTAATTAATGCATCAGCTCACAGCTTGTGGACTTTACCAGCTTGGAGAACAATATGACAGTTCGTAAAGTGATCATAACAGTGTACAATTTACAACTTGATGAAAATTATGAATTATTATTTGTATAATGCTTTACTACTAACCACAAGAAAGTGCGACTATATTATACTATTACTAATGTTATAAATGTGACCGTTTGTTTGTTTGAAGTTCAATCACGCATTAACTACTGGTCGGATTGGGTTGAAATGTGGCTTTATGATAGCTCAGATTCCCGATTAATACAAGCCTATTCTTATCTAAAAAATCCTTTCGGGTTAAAAATGTATAGATATTTATTTAAGTAAATAAAATATGTATGTTGCATTTTAGCAAGCTTGTGATCTTTATTTGAAGACCTATTATTGGATTTTTCAAGCAAAAATTAGTCATAAATAAAAATACCCCCGCCGCAGCAAACCTGCACCCTAAGCGAATTTCAATTTGCCTGATTGAATTTACACTAAAATATCACATTAAAAATATCACATTTATTCCCTATTTAAATAGCAATACTTTAACTAGTACTTCGGTTTGCTGCAACAGGGAGGGTAAAAAAGTGTTTTTAGTAAAATGTTGAATAGTTCAGTATAAAACAAATGCATTTTCCAAATTTGATAAAAATATTTTCATATACAGGCTAACTACAACAAGTTTTCTTATTCTCCGTAAGAATAACATAGGAATTTTAAATTTAATTTTTTTTGAATTTTCTCCGTAACTAGGTATTAGGCCTATGACAACGCTTCAATGTACTAAATTGTTTTTTTTTCTGAGCCCTAAAATGGTTTCGAAATAAATTGCAAAATTTTACGTTTTTAGGGTCAAAAATGGGGAAAACCAATTTTTACCCCATAAAACCGCCCATAAACCCCTTTTCCCATGGTCCGATCATGCTGGTTCGCGAACTCGTTCAAATAAATGTAGGTTTAGGCCTACATGTTTGTACCAAATTTCATCGAATTCGGATCATTTTTGCTTGAGTTATTGTGCTAACGGACACATTTGACCAAAATCTTGGACGCCATCTTGAATTTTGGACTTCCGAGACTTCGATTTCATTAGACTTTTTTTTCTGGAAAATACACATAATTCTAAGTCAAAATAACCAATAAAACAATTTAAAGCAATTTTTTTAGGGTTCTCGTACGGATTTACTCGACTAAAAAACAAGACAAGATCATACAAACTAAGGTATTTAGGCCTAGTCATTACCTTTTTCCATGTTTTATAGGCCATGTTATGTAGTGTATAATTCAGAACAAATAGTTTACACTTATAAAGACAAATTTTATTGCAGTTTTAATGTGAAAAATCATCTTGAAAACAAATGTTGCATGACCAAATATGTTTTTATCCCATTAGGCCTATAGGCCTATACGATATGCAAATCCGATTATTTTACAATAAAACAGAAATTATGACTACGTGAAAAGCGTTGAAGAGAGATTTACGGCTGATTTGCACACTGATTATAAGTAGCACACAGTAGAAAGATAGAAACATTAATTGTAAACAAAGAGCTACTAAGATTAATTAAAACATTTAAAAATAGTTATTTTCCTACTCCTTCCTCAAAAAGTTGAGCAGTAAAATAATTTGCCAAGACTCGTGTACAGAGCCTTGACTTGTAAATATCAATGGGTATTACTTATCTCTACTAATCTTAATTTCCTATAATCAATGACAAAATAAATTAACCTCATAGTTCTGTTGAGTTTTTTTATATTTAACCAGCTGTTAGTTAAAACAAATTAATTATATTGCAAAAAACAAACCGAAGATAATTTGAACATCCTAGCATTTTACTTTGTATATTGAATTAATCTGCCATCCTCTTACCAAAGAGTTGAACTTATCAATGATTAGCATTACACAAAGTATAAATAAGTCAACCGTAAGTATGTCTTTTAGTTTTTATCCAAATGCTGATTTTGTGTCACAAACAATGAATGTTTACAGCTGTTATGTTAAGCAAATTATATTATACCAAAAGCTAGTTTAGAATGTTAGCGTCGGCTGCTAGACTTTTCAAAAATTAAAACTTAACGTGTAAAAAACTGGGACCCTAAACTAAAATTATGGCTTCGACATTCCCTAGTTCTCAAAATTATCTTTCTTTCAACCCAAAAATCATAAAAATCTGTCGAGTGGTTGATTGAGAATGGGTAAATAAAATACCCTGTTACGTTTTAATATATAAGATTCGTCATCAAAGCTAATATTTAATTATGTAGATTTAATCAATAAAGTGTTCTTAAAAAGGAATTTGATTTTATAAACATATATTTGTTGCAGTTACATTGGAAGAAAGGCAAAACAGAAGAGGTTTTTTGGTCCGAGTGGAAAACCAAAACCACCAGTAGATGAAGCAAGAGATATGCTAGCCTCAGTCATCCTGGCTCATGTTCCGGTAATTTGATCTTGAGATTTGACAACTTAAAAACCAATACTACTAGATCATGTTTAGTACCTAGACACAAAACGTTACACTTTACACAAAATATAACAATATTTTACTGCCACTGACAGCATTTTCAACCAAGGAGAGAGAGTTTCTTCAGGACTAATGGTATAATTGTGTTCTCTACCTTACGAGCTGGGCTATAACCTCAATTAAAGAAATTTTAATATGTATCAAAATTCTATCAAAGTATCCTATATGATCCTGATAAGATTAAGTGACTTTTGAATGAAGTAGTCATCCCATCTTCAAAGCCAACTTCAGAAATGTTACTTCCAAACAGGGGATAGTTGAATGAGCCACTCTTAGTGTGCTACTGTCAAAATTCCATTTCTCTATAATTTGTTTATACTATGATAGTGGATGTGACTTTTTTTCTAGGTTCTAGTTTGGAATTGTTTTTTACATTAACTTACTTTAGGCTTGGCCTAAAGGGGGTCGTGGCATTATCACTTTGATAAAATCCATTGGTGATTGGCGGGATTTCAAGTCCATCGCTCTGTCACTGAACCAGCTCGCTCTGCTGATGTAACGTTGACTTAACAGATGTTATTGTTTAATGTTTACAAATGACAAATGACAATGACAAATGACAAATGACAATGACAAATGACAATTCTTTATTGCACATAACATCTGTTTAAGTTATTACAAATGTAATACACAGACAGGTACATTGTCATGTTTACAAAATAAAAAGTCATCTTTTCAGTTAATCTTGGTTAAAAATTGTTAACCCAGCACACTCTGTTAACTCAATTTATATTATTTTTAACCGACTTCCCCACTACCAACAAAAGGAGGAGGTTCTCAATTTGTCTGTGGCGATGTTTTTTTTTTTCTATGTATGTTCTCTACAGTTTCCGCCATCAACTAATATGTAGGTTGTAACATTATTTCTCCTCTACAATAGATAGTTTACAATTTTTTCAATTACATTTTTCTATAACCATTATATTTTTGTGACATTGTTATCAGAATACAAAAATTTAAAATGTTCTAAATATATTAAATTAGTATAATTATGAACTTTCTATGTTACACATTTTTATCTTTCAATCGATCCGTTCTCTCATGCCAACACACGTATATTCACAATCATTTAAATTTAGTTAATTATGTTATTCTTTAAATTTTTTACTAAAACTTAAAACGGTGAAATTTAAATCGTAAACCTTTTGTAGCTTTAAAATTGTAATAACTTAATGTTCTTGCATAGAAATTATCCAAAAGTTTATTTAAGAGCTTCTGCATAAACTAATTACTTGAATCAAATATTGCTTATAATACAAAATACACATTAATAGCTAAGTAATGTAGTATAGCGTAGTTATGTTCCAACATTGCAGGTATGGTTACACTTATCCATTTGAAATTTATAATTTCATATTTTAATAGCCAAATAACAAAAAAAATTGTTTTTACATTACAAGAGAAATAGTTTATTTCATTATTTTTCTTCCTCTAATGTTAATTGCAGTTATCATCTAAAGTTCCAGTTATTTGTAGTCAAGTTAAATATTTTTCCTACGAAGTTTGTACCTATTTGTAATAATCTTCTATTGTATTCTTGATTGGAATTTTATAAACTACCTAACTAGGCCGATTGAAAATATTAAAATTTCATTAAAAGTATTTTTTCTCCTTTTAATAATTATTACGCTGTAATCATACAACTCATTTTGCAGTATTAATTAATTATATTATGATAAATGTTCTAAGATAAATTTAGTCCATAGTACAGTTTTTGAAATCTTTGAAATTGTGGAAGTTGTTATACTAAAGTAATTTTGCTCCTTTTAATCAGTTTTTTCTCCTATATTTTCAATTTTGAAGTTATCTATCATTGTACTTGTACATTTTTATTACAGTGAAGGTTTTGTTTTGTTTTTGATAAGGCTACTTTATTTTGAAACAGCAACTTAATATTTATTCTCATGCTAGATTTTAGTGGTATAGTGTTATAGTTGTATCAATGGTTGACTGGGCAGGTGACTGGGGCTTGGCCGATGCAATTTTTTAATAACTGTGATGATGACGGCGACGGCGACTTCCATTGTCTTGAGCTACATTCCACAGATCAATACATTAATTTTTTTAATTATCATTTAAAGAGCCTGAAAATTTTTCACAATAACATTAGAAGCTTTTCCAAAAATTTTGATGAGTTTTTAGTTTACTTAGATTCTTTTAATACCAGTCTAGATGTTATAATTTTTTCTGAGTGCTGGCTTGGCGGGGGAGGGGTGGGGGCGAACATCGACGGGTTTGACACTCACATGACTACCACTCAACGTAACCGCAATGATGGTATCATTGTGTTTACTAACAAATCACTATCAGCTACTGCACGACAAATCACTCTGGGGGACGTTCATGGGTTATCACTGGACTTTGTGTACTGCAACAAGAACTTCAATTTACTTGCACTCTACAGAACATTCGACAGCAATCCAGTACAATTCACTAGTGAACTTGAGACTTATTATCAGAACATAGATAGAAACAAAATGTGCATTTTTATGGGTGACATGAATTTAAACCTTTTGAACAAGGATATACTAATTGACCTCTACTTAAACAGTTTACTTGGTTCTGGACTTGTACAGTGTGTGGACAGACCGACTAGAGTTACACAGGACACTGCCTCCTGCATTGATCACATATTTGTGCGTTACTGTGACATGGCTGCTGTGCGCGCTGCTGTACTGCACACTAGCCTCACCGACCACTATGCCACCGCCCTCACTATACATGGCACTGCATACACTCACGCACACACACTTAACATTCACACTGCTACCGGACCTTCTCAAACTTACCTTGATCACACCCTTCTCACTCAAAATCTCTCTCAGACCGACTGGGGACCTATCCTAAACTGTATAGATATCAATATGTGCTGAGAAATGTTTTACAAAAATCTAGATTTTGCTTTACAAAATGCAAAAAAACCTATAACTTCAAGATCATCTAGACGTAAAAGAATTAAACCATGGATTACTGACAGTTTGGTCAAATCAATACGTACTAGAGACAAATTAAGTAAAGCCGCTCGTCGTGAACCATTTAATGATTATCTACAAACTTATTATAGGAATTACAGACAAAACCTATGCAATCTATTAAAAAGAGCCAAACGAGATTTTTACAGGGAAAGATTGTACCAGAACAATAGGAATCCAAAATTGTTTTGGGGACTGATCAATGATCTTGCTGGCAGGCCACGTAATAAAAATTCATTTCCAATTGATAAATTTATTCCCAGCATGTCTCATGATACTCAAGCCGCAAAACACGAGATAGCAGATGATTTTAATAACTTCTTTGCTTCTGTTGGAGTAAATCTATCGAGGCAGATAGATGCGGGTGGGACCCCAGTGGTTGTTGACTCTGACTACAGACTGGACTCTACTTTCACATTGCAAACTGTTTCTGCACAAGACGTACTACGACACATCTCCGAGCTGCGCGGTGGCTCAGCTCCGGGTCTGGACGAAGTTTCGGCTGATTTACTTAAACAAAACGCACTCATAATTTACATTCCGCTGCTACACATAATTAATCTATCTCTACTGACTGGTATATTCCCGGCTCAATTCAAAACTGCAAAAGTAATTCCTTTATTTAAAACAGGTGATCCAAAAGACTGTAACAACTTTAGACCAATCTCATTGTTAAGCGTGTTTTCCAAGGTTTTAGAGCGTATTGTCAAGGAGCAGTTGGTGGAGTACCTTCATAATAACAATATATTATCTAATTCACAATTTGGGTTTAGAAAAGATAAAAACATCTCTGATGCACTTTTTGAAGTATGTAAATCTATAAATAACTCAATGGCTAATAACAATCGTTCTATGTTAATTTTCTTAGATTTAAAAAAAGCATTTGACTCAATTAACAGAAACTTGTTGATAGCAAAATTGGAACAGATCGGTGTCAGAGGCACTGCTCTCGCCTGGTTCAAAAACTATTTATCTGACAGACATCAAGTAGTTTCCATTTGTGGTGTGAATAGTGATGCAAATTTAATTGAGTATGGGGTTATTCAGGGAAGTACTCTGGGGCCTATACTTTTTCTAATATATATAAATAACATTTCAAAACTGAACCTGGATGGTGAACTATTTTTATTTGCTGACGACACATTAGTTTTGTTAAAGGGTCGTTCTTGGGAGGATGTCAGGTCTAAAGCTCTCCGTGACCTCTCACTTCTAAAAAAATGGCTAGATCAAAATGTGCTCTCACTTAATGTGAACAAGACTAAATTTCTTCCGATATCACTCAGTACAAGCACTGATTATAGTCTAGACAATTTGAAGATTCATTGTTGCGGCGACCATAACAGTATATCTTGTAATTGTGAATACATTGAAAAAGTAGATTATTACAAATATTTAGGTGTTTATTTTGACTACCGAATGAGGTGGTCAGAGCATGTAGATTTCTTAAAGAAAAAGATTCGTAAATACATATATGCTTTTAATCAACTGAGTGTCATTTTGGACGAGGAGGACGTAAAGAGAGCTTATTTCGCTTATGTACAATCCTTGATTTCATTTGGTATTATCTGCTGGGGAGCATGCTATCACACCACCTTGGAACCCTTGAATGTGGTCCAAAGATCAATTTTGAAAGTAGCTTTTAGAAAAAATAAAAGGTACTCCACTGATGCGCTATTCCGTGAGACGGGAGTATTACCAGTCAGACATATTTTCATTCAGTTTCTTCTTAGTCACACATTCAAAAACTCAAACACGATCCTTACAGCAGTCACACATCAACACTACACAAGATATTCACACAATGTTGGAATATCTGTCCCTCAGCTACATAAGTCAGTTCTAACTACCAACTGTTTTTATGTTGCTCAGATTCTATATCGAAATCTAATTCAAAAATATAATATTCAACACATTTTTAGTTTACCCTCAATACAGAAATTCAAAAATCAGATGCTTGTTTTACTGCACACGATTACCAATGAAGAGGCCGAAACTTTGATCAGACCTAACCTTACTTGACCCTGACTAAACAATCCTTGACCCTTCGACCCCCTCGCCCTCACAATGTCTCCTGTCTTAGATTGCACTGGCTTTGGTTGTCGTCGCCGACATTCTCTTATCCGCTAAACGATCAAGTTAAATTAACAAGGCTTAAAAACCTTCCCAATTTTAGTGTGTGCCCTCAATTTGCTTAGACTGATAACAGCCAGGCCTACGCACAGGCACCTGCCCATGTAGGCCTATCCCATAAGTAAGGCAAATTTTATTTTATTTTAGAAATATTGTACTGTTAGTTGTATAGCTACTCTCTGTTTTAGTTTATATTTTTGGGATAAATAAACGTTTTTCATTTCATTTTTTTTTTCATTTAATTTCATTTCATTTCATGTTCACCAATTTCTCTGTGATTCTTTTACCGATCAGTGTGGTTCCACCACCAAAATAACCAGGAGAGTTTCTATTTGGTACCTTATATATTATGTTTAAGTATAATATTAGTTTCGGTGAAAAATTCTGAAAACCTTAAATATTCAACATTTATTTTGTTTACATTTGTGCAGATTGTTTACATTTGTGCAGAGAAGGCAATAAATAATAATAACATTCCTACAGCTGTTAGTTGAAACCATTAAAAGAAGCTACAGACAATTCTTCATGAAACAGTTGCTTCATATTGATCAATAAACTATTTCTTGCCATGGAGCCTAAATTAATTACATTGAGAAAAATGCTTTTTGTTTTGGTTACTGTTGTATTAAGTCTGTTCTTCTAGTCATATGATTTATTTGTGTTTAAATATCTTTTGTTGACAGATGATTTTTGTAAACATGTTTTTGTAAACATTGGTTTAGTTTTGAAATAGAGTTTGTTGAAACAAGATGTGTGTTTAATATTCTTGTATTAGAAATAGAACAGTTACTATAGAAAATGTATTTTAACGTTTGACCTGATTTGTGTATACAGTAATTCTGTTTTTAGTATTGAATATTCTGACTTACAAAAACATATGTTTCAGTGAATAGCTGTATGATATCGACAAATAAAGGTGTATTGTGAAAACCAAAGCATTCGTAAAACAGGTCTAAATATAAATTAAATGCAATTATTCCTTACACGACCTAAGAAGTGTGACAGTGAATAATCGTCAATTGTCTTAAAAGTGTTAAATATTTTAATTACTAAACATGCATTTGCAGATGTGGAATGTTTATTAATATTCTCTACCCAGTTACTATTATCATATCAGTACTATTATGCCTGCTTCGGAAAGTCCTAGGGGAAGATGATTTGCAATTTCAACTAGGCTATATCTTGATCAAACAAAACCCCCTACATGACTTACACCACTTTTAGCTGAACCAATCTTTCATATAATATTTTCCAAAGGTACTATACATGTTAACGACCAATTTTCCACTTTTGAGAGATTGTTTAGTGCTGGTAGCTGAGGAATAACTTTCATATTGTTCCAAAAGGCTTGAGACATTACTGTATTTCTTTTTATAATGTAGAAGTACACCGATTGCAGGAAACGATGATGTCTGACATTTCAATGTATCTAGAAAAGACAATTAGTTTTTCATCAGGCCTATTGTAATGGACAACTCTTTCTTTCTTAAGGAATATCTAAAAATGTTTATTTTCATAACCAATGATTATGTAACCTCAACAGGTGACTCAAGCAGTTTTAAAATAATTATTGTTCTGTGGAACTTTTGATTGTTTCAAACAGTTTTGCTTATCAAAAAACCTCAAGTGATTGATATATAAAAAATTATACAGTCACTAAAAATCATGAAATAATTTCTTTTTGTAAAAAAATACAACCGACTTCGAACGCTCTAAAAAGAATGAAATAATTTCAATAAAGTAAACTTTTGTATTAGGCAAGCTCACGTATTTCAAGTCGGCGCGGCTCAAACTGCAAATATGATTGAAATTAAATATTGTGTGTGTATTTTGAAAATCAATAAATTGTAGCTGGATAACATAAATATATAAAAAACATACTGAACTGTTTTGTTTATATATTAAAGGAAATATTTTCTTGTATTTTATGTTTACTTCAGAATAAATGCATTATAAAAATAACACACACAAATGTTCTATATGAATAGGAAAATAATTTAGTTTGATATTATGATAGGGAAAAGAAGCTAGTTTAGTATTAAAACGTTACTTTTCAGAGTTAGAAACATTTAAATGCGTTATAATCTTTTTAAAGATACTCGTTAATACCACTATAATGCCGATATCTGATTACGGTAATAAAATAACACTTAACGCATAACTATGAAAAACACAGGCAGATTAACACCTTTAGTTATAGATAGTCACCTGCAATATGGACACCCTCTTTCAATTTTGTATCAAAAATCATCATAGAGCCGCGCCGACTTAAAATACGTGAGCTTGCCTAATACAAAAGTTTACTTTATTGAAATTATTTCATTCTTTTTAGAGCGTTCGGAGTCGGTTGTATTTTTTTACAAAAAGAAATTATATCATGTTAGCATTGGAATTGCATGTCCACCTCTATCAATAGTTAAACATTAAGCATATAGAAAAAATGTCCTTGATAAATGTTTTTCCTGTTCATTGGTTAAAACAAGCAAAGGGTTTTCATATGAATATAATCAACAGGTGGAGAACTTTAACTTCAAGCTAAAAGCTATATACACGGCTCTGATGCTGCGAAGGGTAATTCAAGCGCAAGATGATGTGGAAGTGGTCGATGACCGAGACTACTACGGCAACAAACGCCTCGAGCTAGCTGGCTCACTGCTGTCACTCATGTTTGAAGACTGCTTCAAGAGGTTCAACTCAGAGGTGAGAAACGACCAATCACCTGTCAATACCACTGTATCTCACATAGTATACAACCTAGAATTATCATATTTGCCATGTATGGTATGGTATGGTGTATGGTATGTATATGTTGTTTATATGTATGGTGTAGATGTTCAATAAGAAGGGATTTGACAAGGGATTTGACAAAATTTGAAACATACAGGGGGTTAAGGGGGGGTAGCTATTTCCGGTGGAATTGGACTATGTTTAAGCCTACAAATTCAAATTGAAAACATCTTTATTTTCCGTACATGTACATGGGTACAAAATAGTGTCAATGTCACAACATTTGTAGATGACTCAGTTTTTTTGTCATCAAATCAGGATCCTATTTTGGCATCGTCAAACTTACAGGCTGCATTAGACGACTTGTCTCAGTGGCTACAAAATTGGAAAATTAAAGTTAACAAAACAAAATCCATTCAAGTTACCTTTACCATGACAACAAGAACTTGCGCCTCAGTAACGTTGAATAATGTCATGCTTCCACAATCCAACGAAGTTAAGTACTTTGTTATACATCTTGACAGAAGACTTGCATGGCGTTTTCACATTTGAAACAAAAGACGTTATTTAAATTTGAAAGCAAACAAACTAAATTGGCTTATCGGCTCGCCTATCGGTCAAAATTCAAAATTATTCTAGTCCTTTTTTTAATCTTCTGTTTTTCTTGTTTAATTTCTGAACTTATTCATGATTTCTTTGTGTAATACACATTTCGATAAGTTTGTTTTCAAAGCATAAATTAAAGTAATAATCAACTTTTTGTGAAAAATTTGTATTTTTCTATGATTTTCTATGATTATGCTTACCGGTATATCATAATCATACCTTTATATTTTGGTCTGTACAAGTTGAATTAACGCTTGGATCTTAAATATGATGGAAAATTGTTTTTGCAGAATTAAATCATCCACAACTTTTGTATTTAAAGTTCTTTCTATTGCCAACGATTTTAGAATAAAATCAGTTTAAAGTCAAACAAAACTGTGAAAATTGACTTTATCCTCATGTTTGCCCCTTAAAACAAGGCAGTTCACATTAAACCACAATTACCAAACTCTGTATTTCATTAGAGCAGCTTATTTTGTAACATAAAAATACATAAATTTGTAAAAAGTGGTTAAAAACATATTGTACAAGTGCTTAAAGTACACACTTGATTAAATTTTAGGAGTTATTGATCATGCTATTTATTCTGAAATAGGTGCCAGATAAAACCCGTACCGCAAAAAATTATAAATTTTCTATTCTAAAACTTTATTTCAGGGTTAGTTGTTACCATTAGCCGAACTGTTGTAAAATTTTTTGTAAAACGGTAATAATTTTTTTTTAAAACTGATGTTAATAAAGTGTTATATAAATTGTTATAATACAGTAGTTCCAAAAATAAAAAATATTGTAATTACAGTTGAAAGCAATCGCAGACAAGAACATTCCCAAGATCAAGGCAGCACAGTTTGATATTGTCAAGCATATGAGGCAAGATCTGATCACTAATGCACTGGTGTATGCAATATCAACTGTAAGTATCAATGTTTTACAGGTAAGGTTATAGAGGTAAGGAGGGATTCTTAAGTCACACAACACATCAATGTATTCTTTTTTAGTTATTTTTTTGTGGTTGAAAGAACATTTATGTTATTAATGGGAGTGTTTGAACATTTTTCATCAAGTTTTAAAAAAATACCACCACCTGCAGGGTAAATGAATTTTCATTTACCGAGCTGGGTTTTCACTCAAATATTCCCCTAAAATAATCAGATTTAATTCCTATTTAAATTATGTAAACTAGGTGAAACCCGTCGAAATCGACGGTTGGGGGCCTCCTCGTTTATATGGTCGTGTGGCTTCATTGGCAACAAATAATGCAAATCAAATAGCAATATGGTATTTCCAAAGAGAAAAAGATACTGTAAATTGGCTGTTACGTAAATATTGACACTTACATGCATTGTTAATCAACTTATAAAGGATAATGTGATTTAGTTTAAAAGAAATATGACCTTTCTGTTATGACAGTAGCTGCTTAAATAGTTATTTACTCTTCCAGCCAAAATATCGTGTTACTTTCAATGATGTTACCAACCCAGTGGGCCACGGTCCGTAATATAGGCCACTGCAAATAATGTGTCAAGATAGGTACCATTTTAGGCAAGGTTTTTGTGTTTGGATGTTATTAGACACGATAAGAGTACACTGAACTTCTTCTGCAGATGAATAACTGATGGAGAAATATAAGCCGATTCATAAATTAATGTCACAATGCGAGTTTGAGCATTTTGTAACTATATGAGAAAGTGACATAGTATTTTTTAGACTGCTGCTCAGTGCACTTTAAGAATATGTTTTTTAGAGATAAATTAAATTATTTTTGTTGCTGAGTAGCGCTAGTAAAAATGCACAACACTTTTTTGTTAGCCTAATAACATTCAAAGGCTCTCTAAGAGTTCAAGAAAATAACATTGCAAATACCTCTCAATAAATGTGTGTTGTTTAAAATACAATTTAAAAATGAACAGCTGTTTCATTAAAAAGTATTATCCACATGGCCAAAATGTAAACAAATCGGTGGAGGGATCTTTAAAGGCTTCTGCGACAGAGCCCTAAGGGAATTTACTTAGTTTTTCTTTTGATAAATCATCTACAGACCAAGACCTTTCTTTGGACACCTCTACCAAGTTTCTCCGCCCAACCGTTCTCTCAAATTAGTGGAGACAAAGTTTCCAATAAATATTTAAGATTCCCCCATGTTAATCTTATGGGAGAAAACCCAACTTTGATGGAAGATCCTGTCCAAACTAATAAAGATTTCAAAAAACAAAAAAAACTTTGCAAAACTACAGATCAGGGCCATTGTTTTGACACTTTAATCGTCAAAATCGGTCCAAAAATGAGGGAGGAGTTCTGTTCACAAAAATCGGCTTAGCGTATTATATATATAGATTGTAATGTAATGAGTACTTAGATTTGCTGCTACAGGGAAGGTAATAACATTGACTATTGGATAGTCAAAGATAATAAGCTGTGAATTTATTGAAATGAGATTAATAAGCTGAGCTGTAAAGCTAAGTATGGAATAAACAAATGTGCCAAATTTGATTAAAATATATCCATAAACAAGCAAACCACCACAGTTTACTTATTCTCCATAACAGTAACATAAGAATTTTGAATTTACACATTATAGAATTTTCTTCATAACTGTTATAAGACAACAACGCTTAACTAAATTAATTTTTGTATGTTCTACAAAATAGTTGGGGAAGAAATTGCAACATTTTTTTATGTTTTGGATGTCAAAAATGGGAAAACCAATTTTTACCCCATGAGAGGGCTCATTAAAACCCAGTTCCCATAGCCCGATCAGATCATGCTGGTTCGCAAACTCGTTTAAATAAATGTAGACACTTTTGTACTAAATTAAATTAAATTTGTAAAATTTTTGCTTGAGTTATTGTGCTAACGGACACACACACACACACACATATTAATTCAAACGGATGGTGTTTTTAGCCTCAAAAAAAAAAAACAAAAAAAATTGGTCCTAAGTCTAGGTCTTGGTGTGAGACCTACGGTGATAACTTATTCCCTATGAGAAATTCACGAAAAAACAATATACCAAAACATAAACTGAATTGTATTTTTCTACCCTCCATCACCATGGTTTTCTTTCAGGATTTCAATTCTGGTTTTGACTATGTAGATCCCTGTGTGGGTTTTCTTTTGTGATTCCTCACCCTTAGCTTTGTTTGTTTGCTAATCTTGTTATTTTTTAAGTACTGTCTCATCTGAGGGCGAGATCAGATTTCAGATCCCAACGCTATAGAATCTTATTTTTTCACCGTGATAGAAAATGTTGGCAATAACTCCTCAAATAACATATAAAATTATGTAAAGAGTAGAAAGTACTGATTGTGAACATATCTAGGGTAACTGGACCATAAAGAGATTCAAGATGGAGAGGCAGGGAGTGACACAGGTGTTGTCTCGTCTGTCCTACATCTCCGCCCTGGGGATGATGACCAGGGTCAACTCTCAGTTTGAAAAGACAAGGAAGGTGTCGGGGCCGAGGTCTCTGCAGCCGTCCCAGTGGGGAATGTTGTGCCCTTCAGACACCCCTGAGGGTGAGGTGAGTACTGGGGAAGGAGAAAGCTTAGTCGTGTACAAAGTGTAGCAAAAGTTTAATTTTAATGGTACTTATGTACAGTAGAAGTTTTTCCTGAAACAGTATCAAGGGTGGGTGATGTTGATTCTGTTATATTTCAGACTTTAGAAACTTATATTTATTACAACTATTCAACAACTACTTCACTTACTTATTAGTTTTTACGTAAAGGTTTGTGTTAAGATAGCAGGATTATGTAAATAGGAAAGATTCCACTCTTGTACCAAAAATACTTTACAGTAGTATGCTACTCTGCAAGACCGGGAAGTTGGTGTTTAAAAGCATGAATGTTCCTGTGTGAGGCTGAACAAGGGATTTTGTACGAGTAGTGCAAACACTTTCCCAGATGAGTCTTGTACACGCTATTTTTATTTTAACACAAACAGTATTTTCAACGGTTTTAAAAAGTTGACGTTTCCAATATTTCCAATAAGAAGTTGTGTTAGGATAGCAGACTTTACTTGATCTAGAGTCCATAGTACACATTAACCTATAGAACACTAAAATTATAATTTTTCACTGTGACTGACTGCAAACAAGGTTTGAGTTGGGAAGAGGGATTCATGAAGGTATAATTTTTATCCTTCCATTGTTGAAAACCATCCTTACTTTTTACTCAAGCCAACATTAATTTAAATTTGTACAACCATGTTTTTACTGAAGTTTAAAATTATAATTGTGCAGTTTGTATTTACTTTATTATTTTATTCATTCTCCTTGTTCAGGTTTGGATGTTTAGTCCACAGTCTTTTAGCACTGCTGTATAGAATTTAAACAGTTTTCACCTTTCTTGTTCCTTCTCACCCTATCAAGTACAGTTCGGCCTCTCAGTCAGAGTTTGTAAATTCAACTTGACAATCCCAGGAGTAGTCTGCAAATGTAATCATCTTATGTAAAAAAATTAAATTCAATAAACTAATTTGAATCAAATATTGACTGTGGACTCAGCATGGCCAAAAAGTGTGCCAGGAGCTCAAAAACCCTGTGGAACATTAAATAGCTCAATGACCCACTACCCACTACAAACTGGGCATACCTAATGACTCTATCTTTATGTTTAGGCATGTGGACTTGTGAAAAACCTTGCTCTAATGACACACATCACGACAGAGCTTGAGGAGGGCCCAATTGCAAAGGTGTTGTATAACATCGGTGTGGAACACATCAGTCTTCTCAACGGTGAGGAGATGTATGCTCCTGGCATCTACCTAGTCATTCTCAATGGAAACATCCTGGGAGTGACTGGTAACTACCGCAGGGTTGTGAGGGTGTTCCGTCTGTTGCGGAGGTGTGGAAGAGTCAATGGGTTTGTCTCCATCTATCCGCAACACAAGCACAGATGTATCTACATATCCTGTGATGGAGGCCGACTGTGTAGGTAGGATCATTATGCACTGACTGAAGACTTTGAGAACAACAGGAGTATTTTGTTTTAATGATTCGATACTGTTAATCAATGGTGTTTTTGAAAACCTTTTTTATTGTTTAGTAGATGGGCTATATGACTAGCTTTTAGCTGGAATAGTTTTCCAAAACTCTTTGCATACAAATGCTATGTATTATTTTTCTAATTTCAATTTTCTATTACATTGGATCCAAAATAAATTCAAGTTAGTAATTTTTCCCCATTATTTTACCCTGAAGGAAGATATTTATTTTCATCGGTTATATATTTGATTTATTTTCAGGCCGTATATTATAGTGGAGAAAGGAGAATCCCTAGTCAAGCAGCATCATTTAGATGAGCTAAACCAAGGAGTTAGAATATTTCAAGACTTCATTTTCGATGGTATGATTTCTATTACTTGACATGACATGACCAAAACTGTTTGTAGACATAGCACAAAACAATCTTCTTAACCACTGTTTTTATAAAGCTCTCTATAAAAGCTTTGATTTAAAATATTCAATACTTTTTAATTTTCAAATTCTTAATCTTTCATAAATTTACACAGTTTTAATTAATGAAATCGTTGAGTGTAAAAAATATGACAATTAAAGAAACGGAAAGTAAATAAAAGAAACGTCTTATAACACTTAAAACATATATTTACGCTTATACTGTTACTCACAAGACGGTAAATATACAAAAAAGGTGGTAAGTGGTGATCGATTTCGATTGGACACTCCAATCATCATCAGACCCAATAGGCGAATGACAAGAATCTTGAATGGCGTCCCTACTTATACCCTATTGGCTACCGGAAGCACCGGCCAATACATTTTTATAAGTGCAACTGGAATCAAAATGTATTTGTTCATTAATCAACTTATTTCTATCTTTACATTTTTCCTTATAAATATACAATTCTTCCCAAGCATTCATTACATATCCTTTCTTACAATTCTTTAAAATATCTAGACTATCCTCCATTTTTCCTAGTGAGTGCCCATTTTGTAACAGGTGTTGTGCGACATTTGATCTTTCCGGTTTGTTGTTCCTCCATGCAGATATGTGGTTTTTGAAGCGGTTAACGAAGTTCACAGTCTGTCCAATGTAGAAGCTATCACAATCGTCACAATTGATTTTATATATGCCTGAAGTGTCGAATTTGTTACAATCTTCTATTTTTGGATGCAGTATTTTACTCATGGTGTTCTGAGTCCTGTAGGCTATTGAAACTCTGTATTTCTTGAATCTGTTAGCAGTCCTTTGTGTTGTAGTCCCCGTGTAGCTAAATGTGATATATCTAGTGTTTTCCTCTTTTATCTCTTCTAATGTTGTTCTGCTGTGTAGTGTATTCTGTCTATCGATTTTCCTCCTCGTCTTCCTTGCGATGTCCTCTATCGTCTTGGTCCGAAATCCATTCACTTGAGCGATCTTCTTAATGGTGTCCAGTTCTTTTTTCCTATTGGTTTGGCTAAGTGGGATCTTATAGGCTCGGTACAGCATAGATCTAAAGGGTGCGGTCTTGTGGATTGTCGGATGGATAGACTTGTTGTTGATTGTAGTGTCCGTTTGCGTAGGTTTCCTGTAGATGTCAAACTCTATCTTGCTGTCTTTTCTCTCTAATGTGAGGTCCAGGAATTTGATCTTTTTGTTTTCTTCAAACTCGTTAGTAAAGGTGAGGTTCGGGTGGTGGTTGTTTAGTGTCTGCATCATCGTTTCGTGCTCCTGCTCCTGGGCTTGTCTGAAGATAACAAGAATGTCGTCTACATATCTAACATACAGTTTTACATCATGATTTTTTCTTAAATTCGTTAACATTTCTTTTTCCTGATGCTGTAAAAATATTTCTGACAAAATTGCCGAAAGTGGACTTCCCATAGCTAAACCATCTGTTTGTTCGTAAAATCTATTGTTAAATCTAAAATAATTTTGCTTCAAAACAGTCACAAGTAATTTTACAATCTGATTGACATATTCATCGTCTAAACTATTCTGTAAAAGCCTACATTTAACAAGATCTACAGTTTCGGATACAGGTATGTTTGTGTACAGATTTGCGATATCAAATGAGACTAGCCTACTATTCGAATCTATATCTATGTTCTTGACACGTTCAACAAATTCATAACTATTCTTTACATTGTATACATATTCTAATTCTAAATCATTGCTGAGCTTACTTGCTAACAATTTTGAAACATTGTAGGTAGGAGCACATTTAAAGTTAACTAATGGTCTGATGGGTACATTCTTCTTGTGTATTTTTGGGATCCCTTTCATCACGGGCGCTTTAGAATTTAGGATGTTCATCTTCTGTCGACATTCTTCGGGAATCACTCTGGTGCATCTCTTCACGACGTCGGACAGCTCTCTTTGGTACTTCTGCGTTGGATCCTTTTTCAGCTCTTTGAAGTTATTTTCTTTGAACACTGAATATATAAAGAAGACGGAAGATTTCATCAAAGAAAATAACTTCAAAGAGCTGAAAAAGGATCCAACGCAGAAGTACCAAAGAGAGCTGTCCGACGTCGTGAAGAGATGCACCAGAGTGATTCCCGAAGAATGTCGACAGAAGATGAACATCCTAAATTCTAAAGCGCCCGTGATGAAAGGGATCCCAAAAATACACAAGAAGAATGTACCCATCAGACCATTAGTTAACTTTAAATGTGCTCCTACCTACAATGTTTCAAAATTGTTAGCAAGTAAGCTCAGCAATGATTTAGAATTAGAATATGTATACAATGTAAAGAATAGTTATGAATTTGTTGAACGTGTCAAGAACATAGATATAGATTCGAATAGTAGGCTAGTCTCATTTGATATCGCAAATCTGTACACAAACATACCTGTATCCGAAACTGTAGATCTTGTTAAATGTAGGCTTTTACAGAATAGTTTAGACGATGAATATGTCAATCAGATTGTAAAATTACTTGTGACTGTTTTGAAGCAAAATTATTTTAGATTTAACAATAGATTTTACGAACAAACAGATGGTTTAGCTATGGGAAGTCCACTTTCGGCAATTTTGTCAGAAATATTTTTACAGCATCAGGAAAAAGAAATGTTAACGAATTTAAGAAAAAATCATGATGTAAAACTGTTTGTTAGATATGTAGACGACATTCTTGTTATCTTCAGACAAGCCCAGGAGCAGGAGCACGAAACGATGATGCAGACACTAAACAACCACCACCCGAACCTCACCTTTACTAACGAGTTTGAAGAAAACAAAAAGATCAAATTCCTGGACCTCACATTAGAGAGAAAAGACAGCAAGATAGAGTTTGACATCTACAGGAAACCTACGCAAACGGACACTACAATCAACAACAAGTCTATCCATCCGACAATCCACAAGACCGCAGCCTTTAGATCTATGCTGTACCGAGCCTATAAGATCCCACTTAGCCAAACCAATAGGAAAAAAGAACTGGACACCATTAAGAAGATCGCTCAAGTGAATGGATTTCGGACCAAGACGATAGAGGACATCGCAAGGAAGACGAGGAGGAAAATCGATAGACAGAATACACTACACAGCAGAACAACATTAGAAGAGATAAAAGAGGAAAACACTAGATATATCACATTTAGCTACACGGGGACTACAACACAAAGGACTGCTAACAGATTTAAGAAATACGGAGTTTCAATAGCCTACAGGACTCAGAACACCATGAGTAAAATACTGCATCCAAAAATAGAAGATTGTAACAAATTCGACACTTCAGGCATATATAAAATCAATTGTGACGATTGTGATAGCTTCTACATTGGACAGACTGTGAACTTTGTTAACCGCTTCAAAAACCACATATCTGCATGGAGGAACAACAAACCAGAAAGATCAAATGTCGCACAACACCTGTTACAAAATGGGCACTCACTAGGAAAAATGGAGGATAGTCTAGATATTTTAAAGAATTGTAAGAAAGGATATGTAATGAATGCTTGGGAAGAATTGTATATTTATAAGGAAAAATGTAAAGATAGAAATAAGTTGATTAATGAACAAATACATTTTGATTCCAGTTGCACTTATAAAAATGTATTGGCCGGTGCTTCCGGTAGCCAATAGGGTATAAGTAGGGACGCCATTCAAGATTCTTGTCATTCGCCTATTGGGTCTGATGATGATTGGAGTGTCCAATCGAAATCGATCACCACTTACCACCTTTTTTGTATATTTACCGTCTTGTGAGTAACAGTATAAGCGTAAATATATGTTTTAAGTGTTATAAGACGTTTCTTTTATTTACTTTCTGTAAATTTAATAACACGTACAATGCTGATCAAGAAGTTATTTAATTAAAGAAAAGAATGTACTTAAAAGAGCTTTATTCTTGCTTAGGATTATTATGTACAAGGATAGGAATCAGCTAGCTTACCTGGTAGACAGAGTCCAGATTAGCCTTGATTACACATTAAACACATGAGACAACACAGAAAAACTTAATATTTCGTCCCAGTTAGGGACTTCATCAGAAGGGAGAAGAAAGAAAACTGGCAGTTAAAGTTCAAATTCAAAAGTTCCACAAGTGTTGCCAACTGTTGTTTAAAATGAGATGAACATTTCTGTTGTTATGTACATCTTTAAACACATACACTCATATATACACATGGTAGGTTGATTATTAAAAAAATGTGAAGCTAACTGAGGGAAAGGTTGGGTGAATTATCTGATGTTAAGGTTATGAGTGTTTCAGTAATGTATTGGTAGGCTAGTTCCCACCTTGCACTAGTCTTTGGGGAGGGATTTGATGGCTTTTGTGGTGAAACATGTATCAAAATCTATGTTGTGGTTTACTGCATGTATTGCAACGGGCTTGTATTTGTTTGTTTTAACATTCTTGTATTTGTTTTAAGATCTTGCTTACACACCTGACCGTGTAGTTTAAGGCAATAAAGATTGTAGGATGAGGTGTTTACTGACTAAGATCGGTTAAACCAGAACGATTTCAAGCGATTTATCTATGATTTGTCTGCACAGGATTGATAGAGTACCTAGATGTGAACGAGGAGAACGACTCGATGATTGCTCTGGATGAAGAGAATATAGTACCAGAGCAGACGACACACCTGGAGATAGCAGCTTTCACGTTGTTGGGAGTATGTGCTGGACTGGTGCCTTACCCCCACCACAACCAGAGTCCTAGGAACACCTACCAGTGTGCCATGGGAAAACAGGCTATGGGTAAGTCCTTAAATATGTCCCAGAAATCATCTTTGAATTGTTGAAGATACACAATAGACAATGTCAGTTTTCGACTCTAGTTCAATGAAGATGCCTTCCAGTTCAATGAAATTAAATAAAAAAATCCTTTAATTCACCTTCTAAAAAAACCCCCTCTTACAATACAGTTAGCTCTCCTATCATCTACCAGGACACATCAGAAACACTTACTTAGAAAACTTGCTTACTGTCACTCCCATGACCATTTATATTATAGAAGGTAAAGTTAATCTCAGCTAACTGCCTCCACTTCCTCTGATTTCATGCCTATGTTTCCAAGGCATATCCCCAACTACTTTATCTTACGAATTCTTCGAAGGGCGTCCAAAAAAGAGATCATCCATATTTATTTTACTAGCTTTTCTCCTTTATTATCAGCAAATTTCATCCCTAGATCTTGCTTCATCAACCACATCTAGTTCTTGAAACAGATCCATCAGTTGATTATGCTTCATTCTACATACTCAATTTTATATTGTGGGACAATTATTTTTCCAAGTACTTTTGACTTTACCGAAAAATACAGCAATACACTTCTTTCACACTATACAATTGTTTTGTCTGCTTAAGGGAGGTCTTCCAATATGAACAGTCTTGCAATACATACCTCCTTAAGATTTGTGCCTTCCTCCTGTCGCAGTATGTAACTACCTGGCCTTCCTACTTGGTTGTTATTAATTCAACGATGTCAGATCTTTGTTATAGACTAGAGTTTGGAAAATATCTTATTTTCTCTGGTATACCATACTCCAACATAATTTACTTGAAAAAATACTAGGGATGGACGGGATTGAATTTTTAGTTCGGGACGGGACGGGACGGGATTTTTATTTCCTTCCCAAAATTCGGGACGGGACGAGACGGGATTTTTTTTGTGCATAAAAAGAAAGTACTGTATTGCAGTTACCAAAAAAAGACATACGAAATCAATTTTTACCATTTGTGGCACTGATCTATAAAAACCAAAAAATGGGTAACAATTTACAGGTACCTATAGTAACTTTTGACTCGCGGGTCACGGGGTGATCGTCTGTATGACTCACGGTCACGGCGAGATCGTCGTAATGACTCGCGATCACGGCGCGATCGTCGGTATGACTCGCGGTAACGACGCGATCGTCGTCATGACTCGCGGTCACGGCGCGATCGCCGGTAGGACTCCGCGGTCACGGCGCGATCGTCGGTATGACTCAGCGGTCACGGGGTTATCGTCGGTATGACTCGCGGTCACGGCATGATCGTCGGTATGACTCGCGAACACGGCATGATCGTCGGTATGACTCCGCGGTCACGGCGCGATAGTCGTCATGACACGCGGTCACGGCGCGATCGTCGGTATGACTCGCGGTCACAGCGCGATCGTCGGTATGACTCGCGGTCACGGCGCGATCGTCGGTATGACTCGCGGTCACGGCGCGATCGTCGGTATGACTCGCGATCACGGCTCGATCGTCAGCATGACTCCGCGGTCACGGCGCGATCGTCGTCATGACTCGCGGTCACGGCATGATCGTCGGTATGACTTGCGGTCACGGCGCGATCGTCGGTATGACTCCGCGGTCACGGCGCGATCGTCGTCATGACTCGCGGTCACGGCGCGATCGTCGGTATGACTCGCGGTCACGGCGCGATCGTCGGTAGGACTCCGCGGTCACGGCGCGATCGTCGGTATGACTTCGTCTCCTGCATTCGCGGACCTATCGCTCGCAATAACGGCGTTATCGGCACTCGCGAAGCGGAAAAATCGCCGACGATCGGACCAAATCCCGTCCCGAAAAATTCCCGAGTCAAATGTAATCCCGTCCCGATAATCGGGAATATTTTTTTCCCGAAAAATTCCCGAAATTTCGGGACCCGTCCATCCCTAAAAAATACTATACTTTAATTCAATAATACTTTTATCTGAAATGGCGACCATACAAAAGTAGGTATTTTAAGCCAAGTATGATAATAAGGTGTCTGAATATTTCTTAAATCCAACAATTTTTTTATTTTACCTATACTTATTACTAGTTAAGGATGTGAAAATATTTGTATCCTCTGTGATATCTTTAATTTCCATGTGATTTCCAGGTACGATTGGTTATAACCAGCGTAACCGAATCGACACTCTGATGTACAACCTGGTGTACCCGCAGGCTCCCATGGTCAAGTCAAAGACAATAGAACTGATCAACTTTGACAAGCTGCCAGCGGGACAGAATGCGACCATTGCTGTTATGAGCTACTCGGGATATGACATAGAGGATGCGCTCATACTCAACAAGGCATCTCTTGATAGAGGTATGTCCGTCACAGTAAGATGGTATTGCAGGCTGGCTTTAATTCTTGCTTTACTGTTACTTTATTTGAATTGTAATAGGGATGTGTCGATTCTTGATAACACAGATACTTGGACATTGGTATCGGTATAGAGAATTAATCGTCAAATATCATTGCTGATACTGATAACCGACTCATCTGCAAAGATCACATCCTCGTAAAATTACTGCTTTTGTGGCAATAGTGCTTGACGATTCTGTGATCGCGGGGGCCTTAGATAATGTTTACGCAACAGTTGAAATCTGAAAAAAAACACTTCAGTATCAGAACTTGTTTTAACTTTCACAAAAGTCTGTTTAGGCTGGTTTTGTAAAAAGTTGTCAAAGCATTAATCTTAACTGACGTACCACATACAGACAAACAAGACGGGGACAAACAGACGGGGTGGTGGAGGAGTTATGAATTGACTTTTGGATATTAGGGTGGACATTACACATGGACCAGGTAGATAATTTTTGTATTCAGATAGAACGTAGTTAGATGAGCTGAACACAGATTTGACAGGACGATTTCTATTATCCAGATTCTATAGTTTGCAGTAGGTTATACTGTAAACAATGTTGGTGTATACAAAAGAAAACATTAATGACTACTGCAAGGATCAGTAAACTGTAAGTTATCAGAATTTTACCGCAATCGTGGAAGACGACCAAAATGTCTACACAACCCCGTTAGATAATGATGATTACTACATGACCGCGGGAGACGATAACGATGACTACACCGCCACAAAAGATATCAGAATTTTCTTCACCCGTTAGATTGCAACCAGGGTGTGGTACAGTAGAACCTTGATAACAAGACTCTCATGGGGATTATTAAAAATAAGACTTGTTTATGAAGGTTGACTTCTTATCAAGATTGTCATAATATGTGATAAGGGGTAAAATGAATTCTAGGGAATTTGAAAATTACACTTATCAAAGCGAGTATTGCTATCGAGGATCCACTGTATAAAGAAACTCCTACTGAACATTACTCAATCAGGTGGAAACAAACTACTCATCCATTGACAGAGTGGATCAAGTCTTGGGCTTGGATACTAACTAGGAATTGGGAGTGTACAGCAAATGCATGCAGTATGCTTGTTGGTACAACATACTGGGATTTGAGTTGGTGCTCTAGAAAAATCTGGAGTAAAAAATCAGGAACATAATAACTTGTAAATCCTAGTGCATTGTGTTCTATGTTACAATATCAGTTTCAGATTTAATAATTTGACACATTATGTTCTAAGAGTGTTTATCTCGTCCGCTAGGTTACGGCAGATGCCTAGTGTACAGGAATGCTAAGTGTACACTGAAGCAGTACGCCAACCAGACTTATGACAGGATTCTCGGACCCCTAGTTGACGCGGAGACCAAGAAGCCGATCTACAAGTGTGAGCCGCTAGACGCTGATGGCATCGCCTGTCCTGGGGAAATGGTGCGGGAGAGACAAGTAAGACAAACATTCACAACTAGGTGATATTTTATAGGAAAGCCAAGAAAATTAGTATTTAATATTTTTGCATTATTGACTTGTAAGTTGTCAGAGATTTATAAATCGTCCTCTTGTTTATTTGCTTATTTAATCAATTGAATAACAAAAATCTTAATTAAATTATCTTTGGCCCAGATTTGTACTTATCATTTCACATTGACTAGGTTGTAAGAGTCAAGTAGAATTTTGGTAGATAATTCAATAGATGTGTTAATAGTTAATAGTAGTTGACAGTAAATTGAAGTATATTGTTTTTAATTTTTTCACTAATTTTTTTGGCAACATTCATTTTATGTTTTGTCAGATTCTTGTGAACAAGTCTATGCCTGTTGTCAGCTCAACGACCCCCCAGGGTGCAATGTCCACTCCACAACCTCCTCCTGAATACAAGGTAGGTTATATTCACGATACTTAGGTTATATTAACTAATAAAATGTAATTAAATCTAAGGCTTACCTTACGATCCAATTTATTTTTATAGTGGAGACCTAGGTTTCTACGTCGAAAGGTTATTATGAGTCCTTTGTCTCATAGGCTACTTCTGGTTTGCCCTCTCTTACTTGAGATATTGTCGATTTGGCAGGTTAGCAGGATGGCAACTTGGGAGGTTAGGATTGATTAAGCAGATCATGGCCATGTATCTAAGTTGTTCTCATTTATGTCTTTGTAAATATTTATATGTGTTCAATGTTTTTACAAATTATACCAAATCATATCAAATTATACCAGAGGCTATATCTCCAAATAATAAAATGTACTTGGAATGGATAAATGTTACTACCCATATACCTGTTTGAATTTTAAAACAATACAGTTCTTTAAGAATTGAGAACCTTTATCCCCACAAATGTTTTAGGAGGTGCCGATTACTTATAAGGGCTCTGTGCCTAGCTACATAGAGAAAGTGATGGTTTCATCTAACAACGAAGACGCTTTCCTCATAAAATTGTTGCTGCGTCAGACTCGACGGCCTGAAATTGGTGATAAGTTCAGCAGTCGACACGGTCAGAAAGGCGTCACAGGTGAGGAGAGACTCTTGTACCTTTGTTCTCTTTAGCAAGAGTAATATTTACAACGTACTGTTCTTTATGTTGAGACACCTCAAAATCATACCTTTGTCCAAACCAAAAAAAGGTCCAAACCATCAGAAGATAACATACAATTGAATAAATACTTTTAGACTTACACAGCTATGAGTTAATCACTTAAGCAATGAAACACAGCAGTATAAACGGTATGTAATCTACCAAACAGCGCTAGACAAAGAGATTGTAACTTTTTTGATTACAAGCTTTGTATAAAGCGTCATGCTGGAGATCCTCTGAAACAAAACCAGATTTAAATGAAAGAGAGGTTACTGTGTACTTTTATCACTTAACACAGAATATTGTCAGTAGTTGGTGACCATCTCAACAGATTGCACCACGTTTTTTTGGCTTCAAACTTTTTCATTGAATGCGAAGTCTATTCTGTGTATAGTCAATGGTACTACTTATTTCGCCCATAACAAACATTATATTATTTGCAGGTCTGATCGTAGACCAGGAGGACCTCCCATTCAACGACTACGGGATTGTACCTGATATGATCATGAACCCTCATGGCTTTCCATCCCGTATGACAGTAGGTAAACTGATAGAATTACTGGCGGGCAAGGCTGGCCTAATGGAGGGAAAGTTCCACTACGGTACAGGTAAATAAATTATGCCTTTGTCAATGGACTTCTTATAACAATTTTGTTATTTTTTTTTTCAAAAAACCAAGTGTGTTGAGAAGATTATCAAGTTCAGTTTTTGTGTAAGGTACTCTATCATACTGTATTAAATTAATTTGAGAAAGTGAAGCTATCTTTTTCATGTCTTTGATGATTTGATTTTATACGGGCATTTCTTATTGTTGATACAGAGGGCAGCTTCTAGTTCATATTCTGTATACAAACTGCTAAATCTTATCAGGTCTATAGTAAAAAAATTAGTTCTTGTGACTTATGAGCCGACCCCTCGCACCACCCCCAGACGAACAACTATTGGAAGCATGCCCCCCATAGTGACAGTGCGAGTGGCCGCCCCACATCCCTAACAAAAGTGAAAGGCCGCGGGTGAATATCAAAAACAAAACAAACAGTTGTCAACAAAGCCTATATAATTACAAAAAATCAACAAATAACAAAACATCCATCCAAAGAATTTCTTTAAATAATCTTTCTCAAAAATTTAATTAAAAAGATGATTTTAGGTTTACCCTTCTAAACTTACAAATACTGGTACCAGTAACGGAAAAATAGGCCTAACAACGAATAGATTAAAGACGGTAACAGTTAATATTAAACCTTTAAAAATCAACAATTAAATGAATAACAAGTGACTAAAAAATAAATAACAATGGTAAATAATTTGGGGGCCCCATTGATGATCAGTCCTTTTCAAAAAACTTTCATTAATTACAAAATATAACTTGCGGTAATGGTCACTGGTCACTCTGGTCGCTTCAACTAGTGGTGGGTGGCGGTGGTGGTAGAAGGCGGATGGTGGCTTGAAGGTATAGTGTGTCCCACTGGTCCCAGGAGCAGGGTGACTGGCAGCCCGAAGAGGGAGAAGGTGTAAGGTCTCCCCGGGCGACCCTCTCCGGAAGCGGCGGAACAAAACCTCCCATCCGGGACCTCATCTGACGACTGGCAATCCGTTTAATTACATGTTACAAGAAATTGGTTAGTATGAAGCACAGTAAAAACGTGACTAGATGTTAACTGATATAAAAATAACATTACAAACACAAAACTTGACATGAAACGATGACAGTCGCTGTTCTTCTGCCGAAAATGTGTCCGACACAGCGGAAAATGCCCCGGGGTCTGCAGGACTGCTGCCAGCCCCAAACCGACTGAGTTCCGGCGCAAAGCCAGTACTCGCACTATACAAAACACTGAGGCGTGACATTGGTGGGACGATTGGCGTACAAGTCACGGCTCAAAACAACCTCTCCCAATTCTAGAAGATCTCAACACCACAGATCAACTCAAGTGTCTGAAGTGGGGAACGCCAAAAGTCTTTCAACTGGAGGGACTACTCACCCCCAGGGTTTGCACTGGCCAGTGCTGGAAAATTTACTAGGGAAAAATCTTCAGCAGCGCACAAGGGACAGAAGAGGTGATCAAGCTCTCTGGCCCAGTGCACTTCCCGCTCAGACACAAGAGTAAAGAAAGATGACCTACGGAATTGTTCCCCGGAAAGGCTTCAGATGAGAAATGTGAGCCCTCCGGAAAACTTCTCCAGTCTGCGGATTTCCAAGCCGCACGGAGACAGGAGTCAAGAACTTCAAGATGCGGTGGGGACCTGACCACCGATGAGACAACTTAGCGGCTCTCTTGTCCACGGCCGAACTGACCGGATGAGCCTTGCAGAAAACCAAATCCCCCACCTGGAAAGGATTGTCCAACCGACCTCGATTGTGCTTCCTCTGTACCAATTCCCTAGCTCGGATCAAGTTCCTCCTAGCCGCCTGTCAAGTTGCCTTGACATTGGCTGCACCAGGGGGTGGCAGAAGGTCGCCAATTTTCCACACATTTGCCAAGGGATTATTGGGTGGATAGCCCAACAGCAGCTCGAAAGGGACCGCCTTGTGACTCTCATGGTGTGCAGTATTGAAAGCAAATTGAATCCAAGGAAGTTCCTGATCCCAGGTGGTCTGCTTGTCAGCATGAAAAGCTATGAGAGCGGAACGAAGATTTCTGTTGAACCTCTCAGCATGGGAAGGCTGTGGATAGTAAGGAGAAGTGGTCACATGGCGGATACCGTGCCCAAAGCACATTCTTTTGAAAAGGTGAGACACAAACTGAGTTCCGTTGTCGGAAACAATGGTGGCGGGTATTCCAAAGTGTTGGAACAAATGGGTACGAAGTGCCTGCACGGTGAGCTGTGCAGTGGCGTTCCTCAAAGGAAAAAGCCAACAAAACTTGGAGAAGGCATCCACACAAACAAGCAAGAATTTGTTTCCTGACTTGCTACGTGGGAGAGGCCCTACATAGTCTATGAAAACCTTCTCCAAAGGTCTCTCCGCCACCTCAGATGACAACAACCCATACTTGGTATTCTGAGCAGGCTTGCTTAGCGAGCATGTTTGACAAGAACGTACTCGTGCCGCAATGTCCCTGTCCATACCCTTCCAGATGAACATGTCCCTAACCTTCGCAATGGTCTTGTGAATCCCTAAGTGCCCACCCACAGGGGAAGAGTGAAAGTACGCAAAGACCATGGGTACAAGAAGACTAGGCAGGACAACCTTGGGTTTACCCTGCTGTCGGTCTCGACAACAAAGGGCACCCTGGGACAGTAAATACGGGGGGTGGGCTCCCCCATTTTGAAGCTCACCAATGATCTTAGCCAGCTCGGGATCTTTTAGCTGATGTGGGATGAACTCAGAGAAGGCAAGGGGAAACTCCAGGAGCACAGCACACCCTGTGTGCTCCTCCTGATCAGAAGGTTGGTCGTCAGGTGAATGATACATCCTGGATAAAGTGTCAGCAATCACATTCTGCGTGCCTCGAACATGTTGCACTTGGAATTTGAGGGAAGAAATCTGGACAACCCAACGACCAATTTTCCCAAGCTGGCGAGGATGTGCAAGGAGCCATGAGAGTGCTTGGTTGTCGGTTTCCAGCAAAAACTCTTTGTGTTCCAAAAAACGTCGGAACTTATTCACTCCAAACACGACAGCCAAACACTCTAACTCATACACAGAAGAGCTTTTCTTTTCGCATGGGTTCAAAGTGCGTGAGGCATACGCAATTGGCTGCCTAACACTATCTACCTCTTGAGACAACACAGCCGCAATGGCAACGGAGGAAGCATCGGTTTGCAAAACAAACTTTTGACTGAAATCTGGCATCGCCAAAACCGGGGGTTGCATGATAGCTTCTTTCAGAAGATCAAAAGACATCTGTTGTGCTTCACCCCAAACAAACTTGGCGCCCTTCTTCCGAAGCTCATTGAGAGGAGCCGCCAACTCAGCCACATTGGGGATGAAGCGCCGGTAGAAACCCACCATGCCAATGAAACGGGCAATGCCTTTGACATCTCTGGGAGGAGGAAAATCCCTGATAGCCTGGGTTCTAGCCGGATCGATACAGACACCTCGTGAAGATACTAGATGACATAGGAAAGAAATCTCAGCCTGAGCAAAACTAACTTTCTCGGGATTTACGGTAAGGCCAGCCCTAAGCAACCTATTCATGACTTCCTCAAGATGAACCAGATGGTCTTCAAAGCTCTCACTGTACACCAAAAGATCGTCAAGATAGTTGAACACAAATTTGAATTTGACGTCATGAAAGATGGAGTCAAGAAGTCTGGTGAGGGTTTGGGCCCCCACAGCTAGACCCATGGGAACACGTGTGAACTGGTACAAGTTCCACGGAACGCAGAAGGCAGTGAGAGGTCGAGATTCAGGTTTCAAGGGAATCTGATGGTAAGCCTGGTTCAAATCAAAGACGGAAAAATACTTGGCCTTACCGAACCAATCGAACGCAGAGTGCAAATCAGGGAGAGGGACAGAGTCAATTTCAATCTGAGCATTCAACTTGCGATAATCTAGAACCATTCGAGACTTGCCATTTGGCTTTGGAACTAGAAAAGCTGGACTTGCGTAACTTGAGCGAGAAGGCTCAATTACCCCATTTTCAAGAAGCTCATTGATGATTCCACGGAGTGTTTCCATTTTGGGTGGAGCAAGCTTGTAAGGATGAGAACGAACTGGACGGGTGTCAGTCAAACGGATTTCGTACTCCAAAAGATTGGTGACTCCAAGCTTTGGCGTCAGCACCTCAGGAAAACGAGAACACAATGTTCTGATTGCTTCAGCCTCACCAGGAGTCAGATGCCCTAAAGGATCAACTTTTGGTTTGCTGGGTGTCTCAGGCTCCACCACAGCTGCACCATTCACAATTTCATCCGCAAAAGGAATGAGCACCCGTCTTGCGAAACGAAAGAAGCACTGGCCTCTGCCTAAATCCAAAATCAGGCCACAATGCTTGATGAAATCCGCTCCCAAAATGACAGGAATGCAAAGGTCCTTGGCTACCCAAAAACTCCACACCCAAGAAAAATGTTCAATCTTGAATTTCAAACGGGCTTCATAGATGATAGGAAGTGGGGATTTTGATGCAGTCCAGCAGATGTGGGTACTTCGCTCAACTTGCTTGATTAGCCCAGAAGATTTTAGATTTTCAAACAGGGAAAGGGAAATGAGACAACGGGCTGACCCAGAATCCACAAGGGCCTTCTGCACCGTTTTACCTAAGAAGATGTTGAGTCGGGGGCAAGTTGAGCGCGCCGCTTTCACTCCCATGCATGCAAGCTCCCTCATTCCCCGCGACAGAGGCTCCCCAAAACCAGCACTCCCAGAAGGGGCAGTACTCACAGAAACCAAATTCTTACTGACTTTCTCCAAAATAGCTTTCTCACAGGGCGGTTTAGGCAAACTTTCCTCTTGTGAGCTACTCAGGTTTTTGGACAAAGTCGCAAGATTAACCCTCTGACGACACTCTCGTCTCATGTGACCTGGTTGACCACAACCAAAGCAAACAATAGGATGCCTCTGTCTCTGCGGTGTTTCAGGACCTTGACCCACGGAAGCTACAGCGGGATGGAGAACAGTCTGGGGAAGATGCCCCGAAACATGCTCCCTCTGACAATCAGCGCCTTGAACGCTCCGTGAAAGGATGACCAGCCTATCCAGGTCTGCAAAAGAAGAAGGCTTTGGAGCAAAAATCAGTCTGGACCGCTCCTCAGGCTTCAACCCCTGCAAGAGAATGTCCACCAGTTGGTTTTCAGGGATGCCCAGCCGTAGGACACGCCACACGCCACAAATGTCACCCACATACTGACTGAGAGTTTCATCAAACTTTTGAGGTCGAAACACTCTCTCAACCTTCAATCTCTCCATGACCCTGAAGGGGACAAAGAGCTCAAGTACTTCACTGTGAAAATTGTCAAAATTAACTCCCCGTTTCAAAAAATCTAACAATTTGTCACCAAGAGGTCTCAGGCAGAGTGGAACCAGCAGTTCCAACACTACTGAGTCCTCCATGCCTGGGAACTCCTTCAGGTGCAACACCTTTCCCAAAAACTCTAACAAAGGTTCCACCTTTAAACCATCAACTTTGCGAATGTCGCTCAAAACCCCAGCAATGGGATTGGGCAGTGGAGCAAACAAACCCATTTTGCTTTCAGTCAGTCGGTCTACTTTCAAAACACACACAAAAAAAATTTTACAACAAACAATTCACAAACTTAACTAACTAAAGGCTCTGGACTGAAATGCCTACAGTCAGATGAGGTCCCAAACAGAAGAACCTGCCCATACACACCGCCTTAGCCACCAAAACAAAAAACACGGACTTACACTCACCACATACACACATACATACATACACTAAACAACAACACCTAACATTTGTGTGATGAGGTAAACACACACACACAGTTTCAATTTTGGGTTTGGCCATGCTTTTGACACTCTTGCTCCCAAAGGATGCAAGTCATTAACCAGATTCCACCCGGTGACTCGGCCAAGGGCGAGCTCCTAATAAAATAACTACAACAGTGTGCTTACCCCACCACAACAACATTTCTTCAAAAAATTCCCAAAACTGCCAGACCAGAATCACCGCAGGGGGCCCACGCTTGCGTGGGTTCGTGGCCTGGGCGACCACGCGGACCCTAGCTCTCCCAGAGGGGAGGTAATTGCCCGGTGTTGGAACCGGCACTTCAGGTAGACCACAAGCTATGGACGACTGGACAAGCCAGCCTCTTTGGGTTGTACCCAAAGTGAGAGTACCCAGTGACATTCCCTCCATTCAGGGTGGTGGGGTGTTCAGCTCTGCTAGTGTTGATTAAGTTCATAGATCTTTCACCTGCCTGTAGCTTGTGGTTGTGACTGAGTCCTACCTGTTGTGTACGACTGACATTTTGTGAGGCATATCCTCGACTTTGGAAGTAGCCTCGTCCTGGGAGGTGAAATACCTAGCCCCCAGAGGGGAGGTAAATGCTCCGTGTTGGTATCGGCATTTTCAAGTAGGCCACAGACATGGACGACTGGGCATTGGGTCCCAGTGACATTCCTTTATCCAGGATGGAGGGGTGTTTAGCTCTAGGAGAGATGGAAGTGCATCATAATCTCTAACCTACCTGTGTCTGTGGTTCTTTGGGCTTCGGCCTGCTTGTTGTGTGCGACCAGCATTCAGTGGGCAAATCCTCGACTTTGGAAGTAACCTTTCCTGGAGGTGAAAACAGGCAAGTACCCGTAGCTCACGGGGACACTCAAGGGCAACGTAACTTTCCGCAGTGTGAGGGCAACGGTTTGTAGGCACTTATGCAAACCAATCCCTGTCTCTGAGTACGGACGGTATGGTTATCTTGAGTGTGGGGGGTTCTTCCCGGAACCTCAATTGAGTCAAGGGTGTCGCCACCTCTGGTGGATAGGTTCATCCGGGTGGGTCCCACTTCTATACCTGCCTCCTTTTGGGAAACCCTGATGGCCTGGCAGTGATGTTGGGTCTGACGGGCAAACGAAGTAGATCGGGTGCTGGGTCCGAGCCCGCCAGGGGTATCTGGGGATCTATCGCTCTGGTTATCTCTGGTTTCCCAGCAATGGGTAAGGCCTCGATCGGGTAGTGGTGTAAATGGGAGGTTGCTGACGGTCCCCTTCCTCCTGGCTATTGATGGCGGGTTCTGCCTGTCAGGGATTAGATAGGTCCCGAGTGTTGCTTGCACTAAATGCGTCGGGGCGCTCTACCATGGACCTCTAGGTCCTGACCTAGTGGAACCCAGGTGGAGTGACGCTTAAACAAGCAGCCGGAATCCCTGGTTAGGATTGAGGGGCAACCCTCCTTCCGAAGGGTCTGCTTCGGCAGCCGGCGAGCCTGATGACCTTAAGTCATCCGCCCATGATGTGCTAAAGGTTGATGCATAAGCTTCGGCCTACATCATGGGGCCCGGGTATGTCCTAAAGGATAGGTACCGGGTATGCAGTCAGGGGGCTTCGGCTCTCATGACAAATAATGTAATGTAATGTAGACCAGAATCACCCAAAAATCAATCCATCCACGGCCCTTCAAAACAAATCAGAACGTGGACAGTGATCGGATCTCTAAGTATCCAAGTCGTGAAACCGAAGTTTCACGACAAGGCACCCAGGACGCAACCAAAAAACCACGCTCTGCTACCATCTGAGCCGACCCCTCGCACCACCCCCAGACGAACAACTATTGGAAGCATGCCCCCCATAGTGACAGTGCGAGTGGCCGCCCCACATCCCTAACAAAAGTGAAAGGCCGTGGGTGAATATCAAAAACAAAACAAACAGTTGTCAACAAAGCCTATATAATTAAAAAAAATCAACAAATAACAAAAAATCCATCCAAAGAATTTCTTTAAATAATCTTTCTCAAAAATTTAATTAAAAAGATGATTTTAGGTTTACCCTTCTAAACTTACAAATACTGGTACCAGTAACGGAAAAATAGGCCTAACAACGAATAGATTAAAGACGGTAACAGTTAATATTAAACCTTTAAAAATCAACAATTAAATGAATAACAAGTGACTAAAAAATAAATAACAATGGTAAATAATTTGGGGGCCCCATTGATGATCAGTCCTTTTCAAAAAACTTTCATTAATTACAAAATATAACTTGCGGTAATGGTCACTGGTCACTCTGGTCGCTTCAACTAGTGGTGGGTGGCGGTGGTGGTAGAAGGCGGATGGTGGCTTGAAGGTATAGTGTGTCCCACTGGTCCCAGGAGCAGGGTGACTGGCAGCCCGAAGAGGGAGAAGGTGTAAGGTCTCCCCGGGCGACCCTCTCCGGAAGCGGCGGAACAAAACCTCCCATCCGGGACCTCAACTGACGACTGGCAATCCGTTTAATTACATGTTACAAGAAATTGGTTAGTATGAAGCACAGTAAAAACGTGACTAGATGTTAACTGATATAAAAATAACATTACAAACACAAAACTTGACATGAAACGATGACAGTCGCTGTTCTTCTGCCGAAAATGTGTCCGACACAGCGGAAAATGCCCCGGGGTCTGCAGGACTGCTGCCAGCCCCAAACCGACTGAGTTCCGGCGCAAAGCCAGTACTCGCACTATACAAAACACTGAGGCGTGACATTGGTGGGACGATTGGCGTACAAGTCACGGCTCACTTACAAATTACTTTAATGACTTACATAATAACAAACATTTATTTATTACACTGTAAGTTAGGTAGGTTTCCAACCATTTGATGAAACTGTGGGTTATAAAGAAGAGAATTAAATCCTTTGCTCACAGTCTTGTAACTTACCCACAAGTCTTTACAAAATTGTTTTGGAAAAACCAGAGTTCCTTGGTATACTAGTTGTATTTGTATTAATTTTGTGATATATACATGCATTCATATCCTCTCCAGCTCTGGTTGTTCTCGGATCTTTGTGTCAACTAGGCTTCTCTATCTTGTCCTATCTATCAGAACAGTGTTCTTCCTTTACAATCTTCCAATTCATTCTTCTTTCTCATCCTCTCTCTTCATGTTTATTTATCCACATTTTTATACAATTTCATCTTCTTCCCTCTATTTTTGAAACCCTCAGGTTTTTAAATCCCTTAAAATATGATAAACATGATTCTGTCACATAATTTTGTCGTTACAGCATTTGGGGGTTCCAAAGTGTCAGATGTGTGTGAAGAGTTGGCCAGAAATGGGTTCAACTACCAGGGCAAAGACATCTTCTACTCCGGCATCACTGGGGAGCCACTGCAGGCTTACATCTACTCCGGACCGGTAAACTCCTCTAGCATTGAGATAGACATATAGGCCAACATTTTACAAAAAAAATAAACAAGGCTACGAACGATGATGACAAACTGACAATATGCTATATGTTTTGTGATCAATACAAAATAACTTGTTCTTAGTCATATCCTGTGGAGATAAGCGTATGGTTCAGTTCTCATTGCCCAGCGTGGGAGCGGAAATGTCGAGATTCCTAGAAAGCGGCGGTTAAACCGAACTGCTCTCAAAGCAAGGTCGGTTAAAACACACTGTATTATTTTACGATCGAAGGCGGATAATCGGATTATCGGTTAATACGAGGTTGGTTAAGAGGGGTCTACTGTAGTTGGCATAATCAGACTTGGAGCCCTTTGTAAACAATGGAATAATCTTAGAAAGTTGAAATTGTATATTAAATAAATATCTAGTGCACTGTGAGGTTATACATTTTTTCTGTAGTTTTTTAATTGTTTTATGAGTTAGAACATCTAGGCTCCAAGAACTCTTAATAGTTTATAACAAGTTGTTCTCTCAGTTTTACCATTTCGATGACAAATTCAAGCAAATCAACTCGTGAATTATTTAACCAAGTAGACCTTTTTATCCTCTTGATATTTTACTTAAACATGTTTTCAAACATAAAACATAGACTTGACTGACAATAAATTAATTCATATAGTTCGACTATGTTCTGAAGGGCAGCAAATTTATATGTATCTCAGAGGGTCGTAGAGAGATGTAGCAACTGTCAGATGACAATGTTTGTGACAGGTGTACTACCAGAAGCTGAAGCACATGGTACAAGACAAGATGCACGCCAGGTCTCGAGGCCCGAGAGCTGTGTTGACTAGACAACCTACAGAGGGTCGTAGTAGAGAGGGTGGACTGAGGCTCGGCGAGATGGAACGTGACTGTCTCATCAGCTACGGTGCCAGGTGACTTTCTCATTACATATTTTATATTTATCTCCGTAATCAATTTAGTGTGTATTTTACACGTATGAAATGGACGTATTAAAATTATATTTGGTGATTTAAAACTTAAATGATATATTTACAAACCGCAAGGAATATTGTCTTACTCTTAACTTATCTATGTGATTTTTTCAGTATGCTGCTAATTGAAAGACTGATGATATCTAGTGATGCTTTTGATGTTGATGTGTGCAACCAGTGTGGACGACTTGGCTACTCAGGCTGGTAAGCGAATATTTAGTTCTTGAATGATAAACCAAAATAGATGAAGACAGTAAAATACTGTTACACTTTATGTCACATGAGCAAGCTAGTGGAGACTGTAGTTGCATGTCTGCTTGGGTGCCTAAGATGTTACCACTATACCCCTACCTTGTAGCCAATTAGGTAGTATACTTTAATTTAGGATGAATCTAATTTAAGCTGGTAGTAGAAGTGAGATAAATTAAAAGACAAAGTAGGCCAAAGATACATTTATTTTATGGATGTCAATTTTCTCAAAATAGACTTTCCAAATGAAATTAAATATGCAGTTGTTACTTCCCAAAAATTATACTAGATAATAAAATAGTGGAAAGATCTTACTTTAAACAGAGACACTGGTTTAATGGTCAGAACAGGCACTAGCAGATACCATGCAAACTAGAAGTGGTGCAAAAAGCTACTGGACCAATCATAAGAAGGTGAACAAGAAGTGGTAGTACCAAGAAGTGGTTGATTTCTGTCTGAAAACATCACACAAACCCAATAAAAACTATTCTCTATAAATTCTAATAATTAAAAGTGGATTTAAGATCTTTACAACTTCTTGTGAAAATGTGCTTCTCCTAGAACAAAACTCAACAGGTCTGTATAAACTTTACTTGTTTTCTTTTCTTGTGAAATGCATTAAAATTGATTTGAAAACTATTCATTCCTTTTCATCTTTTTCCAAAAGTGATTTCTACAAAGCTATATACAATAAATCAACTAAAATCTTATTACTAAACAATATTAAAACTACTTACAATTTTCTACAGCAACCACAACTTAGATGACCATATTTCCAGTGAACTTAAAACTGACAAAGTTGAACCAGGTTATCACTAACCACTACCAACCCTACAAAACTAAAACTTCTAAACTGCTGGTCACTCTTTCTTAATCTTTCTAGCCAATGATTAAATAATATTGATTTTGTTTTGTTATTTCAAATAAAAACTAACTACCATCGGTACAGAATTTCCCCTCCTTAACTTGAAATTACATAAACAAAATTATACACTCTTTCTCAAAATTAATATTTACATTTCCTTTTAAAACAACAACTCTACAAAAGAAAATAAACAAACCTTTTAAAACAAATAATAAAACTCTAACTCCGTTTGACATTTCAACTAGCGCTACCTATCAACAAATTCTACAAACACTAACTCCTAGTTCAAATAGCCTCCACACGTTTACAGCACCTTACAGAACCTTCTACTCAAAACAACAACTTCTATTTACACAATTTTTCATTTTGAACCATTTCATTTTCCTATGACAATTCAAATATTATCAATCTTATTTACAAAATTTATACCTTAAAATAAAACCTTTCTTTAAAACCCCCAATTACTTAAGCGATCTTAAACAAGCCTATTTAAATCTCTTTTGAACTCTTCACATCCGCTCACAGTTCACTGACCCCTCCCAACATCAACTCCAGACAAGACAAATAAACTTTCACTTCTCCAGTTTAGTTTAGTTATGTCGTTTGCGTGTGCTGTGTTTTTCTTTAGTTTTCCCTTAATTTATTTATCCCAGTGTGTTATATTCCCTGTTTTTATGTTCCCTCGTGTGTTTCGTGTGAAGTGTTTTGTGTTCTGTGTTATTTTCCCTGTTTACAAGTGCAAAATTAATCAAAATGTTATTGTGCGTCCTTTAGTAAAAATCCCACTCATACACTACGTTCAGACTCCATTTTAGATTCATACAGATTCATACTACCTTTTGCTGCCACAAATACTCACACATTCACCAATACATACACATTTATACACTCTCTTACTAAAAACACTTTAAAACTTTGAAAAATTCTTAAGAACCTAAAACAACTCCCACAGTACTAATTTACAAAATTTCAAATTCCCTCTTAGCTTGCTAAAATCCCTTAACTAATTAATATTTCAACTAAACAAATCTATCTTCTACTTTACAGACATTTCATAAAGACCAATTTAGCTTCAGTCTTCCGTAATCTTCCATTTAATTCCATTTTTCACATTTCCTCTTCCATCAATACATTGGTTACTTTTGGTCCTCTTCACTACTTAACTCTTCTTTAAATCAATTATATGAATTTTCTTCACGTCTTCTAACTTGCTAGGATTTTGTACTAGTACTGTTGAATCACTCAGAAAATAGCGTATTACGTAAGGTCCAACGTATCTAGGTGCTAACTTCTTGCTGAATTTATTCGCTGCATTACTTAAATAATGTGTCTTGATGTACACTTCCATATTCAACTTAAATGGATGGTTTCTCCGAGGATAGCTATATCTCTCCCTTCTTTGATTTCTGGCAATGCTTCTTCTGACGTTATTTATGGCTTTCTCCAAATTTTCCCTCCTTTGATCAGGAGTTAACTTCTCCGAAATAATGTCATTAACATTCCATAAGTTTGTCAGTGCATTGTTACAAGGATGGGCAAACATTAAACCAAAAGCAGTCGATTTAGTCGAACTATTTACAGCAGTATTCAAACTTGTGGCAATCAGTCCCAGATCTGAATCCCATTTATCATGTTGATTACCATAAAAACTCCGTAAAGCATTATTAGTCTCCCTCAAATATCGTTCCGACAAATTTCCGTTTGCTCTGTACGCAGCTAGCTTTCTGTGTTCCACATAGTTATTGAACATGAATTTCTTAAATTCCTTGGATGTAAAATAACTCGCATTATCAGACACAAGTATTCGGGGTACTGAGAAACTATCAAAAATTATCTTCAATTTTTCTATGATGAATTTTGTCTTGCAATCCTTCAGAGGGTACAACCATACAAAACGGGTAAATGCATCGACCACAATTAAAATGTACTGATTGAGTTTATTTGATCGGGGAAATGGTCCAGCTAGGTCAATAAACACAGTGTTTAGAGCTTGAGTTACAGGAACAGATATCAGTCGACCTTCAAACTTACGTTGTTCCGACTTAGACATCAGACAGATCTTACATTCACGGACTTTACCTTTTACGAATTCATTTAATTCAGGATGGTGAAAACTTTCATTTACTTTACTTTGAGTCCTAAAAATTCCCATATGACCACCAATTAATGAGTTGTGATAGAATGCGAATATTACACTAAACAGTTTCTTGGGCAAATAAATCTTCTTTTTAAACAATAAAACTTCATTTTTCAGGGTATAATTTTCATTATTAGTCTTATTCTTGATGCTTTCAATGATTTTCTTACACTCTTCATCGCTCTCTTGATGTACTTTAATGTCCTTAAGATCCAATGGTATTTCATTTAACACATTACAAAAATAGACTTCATTGTTGATATTGCTTAACAGATTAGTTTCGTGAATTTCCGTCTCACTCTCTTTCTCTTCACTAAACATACGTGATAACGCATCAGCTATTATATTCTCCGAACCTTTTACATGTTCAACTGTGAATGGAAGACTAAACAACCTTTCAAACCATCTAGACAATCTTCCACGGCTTTTTTGAGATTTGAGCATGAAACTAAGACCTTGACAATCAGTAACTAATTTAAAACTTCTTACTTCCAAGAATTGATGCCATTTCTCTACACACAATATTACACTATAAGCTTCCTTTTCGTAAGTGCTATAACGCATCTCAGTAGGTGTGAATTTCTTCGAATAGTAAGCAATAGGCATTAAATTCCCTCCTCATTTCTTTGCAATAAAACACCAGCAGCTGCAAGGTCGCTTGCGTCGGTATGCAATTCAAATTCTTTAGAAAAATCGGCCATTTGTAGTATAGGCGGATTTGCTATCTTACTCTTTAAGGTTTCAAATGCATTTTGACACTCCCTCATTCCACTTAAATTTTACACCTTTCTTTTCAGCGCAAACAGAGGTAAACATATTTCAGCATATTTAGGAATATATCTAGACCAATAACCACACATTCCTATAAACTGTCGCACTTGCCTCACAGTTTTTGGAGCAGGAAATTTCATTAATGAGTTAGTTCGCTCGGGATCTATTGTGATGCTATCTTGTTTAATAATATGTCCTAAAAAACTTATTTCCTTACAAAAGAATTTGACTTTTTGTGGATTTACCGTAAGTCCGTGTTTTGCTAATCTCTTAATCACTTCTGTAACGTGCTCAATATGGTTTCTCTTATCAGGGCTATATACAACTATATCGTCACAAAAGTTAATCATATACTGAAATTTGATGTCATTAAATATTTTGTCCAAATAATGTGATAGTACGCTACTGCCTATTTTCAATCCAAATGGAATTCTCTTCATACGGAATTTACCAAAAATTGTACTAAAAGATGTTAAATCTCTGGATTCTAAAGCTATGGGACATTGTAAAAATGCTTTGTTTAAATCTATGACTGTAAAATATCTAGCTCCTTTTAGATGCTGATACATATTCTGCATATCTCCTAGCGGGTAATCTACATTGATTAACTTCTTATTGAGTTCAGAGTAGTTAATTACAAGTCTGTCATCTTGAGTCAAAAATGCAGGGGCGCTATATGGACTAGTGGAAACTTCCGCGACATCTTGTTTATCCAGTCATCAATTATAGCTTTCATCTTCTCTACTTTGGGTGGACTTAAAAAATAAGGGCGTATACTAACAGGTTTATCATCCGTCACTTTAAGCTCAATTTCCAAATCAAGTGCTGATCCTATCTTATCCGTAAAAACAGTAGGAAAATTCTTAATTAACTTCTCAGCTTCTTCACACATTTCAACATCTCCTACTTTAATACTACTTAAGCTTAATTCACTCAGGTTTGTACTTGGAATTAACTTAATTTCATCTTCAGGTTTAAATGTAAAATAACCCATTTGTCGATCCATATTTAGGTTTAACTTGCTTGCACACATAAAAGGGTATCCTAAAATCATGTCAAAATATTTTAACTCAACCACTAAAAATGTTTGTTTCCAGGTAAATGATTTTATCTTAATCAAAGTTTCACATTGCTTATTTATGTTCAAAGGTTCATTGTTTGCAGCAACTATGGTTCCCTGCCAAGTATTTTCACTCATAATTAATTTATTTCCCAATAATCTGTTGTATAAATCCAAGCTTATAAAGTTTTGACTAGCTCCAGTGTCTAACAAAGCTCCCACACTTAATTTGTTTCCTAAATCCACAGAAATACAGGGTAAATGTGTTACAGTTTTAGCTTTTACTTTCTTTAATCCAGGTGAATTTATTTTATTAAAATCCTTAACAACTCTTCTCAGTTCAGACTTAAAATTGGGACTATGAGAACTATATACAGGTTTATTATTTCCGAATTCTTTCTTGCCGTCCGGAAAAAAACAGATTTGTAGTCTAGGCTACGTGTTTTTCCTGGCTTAACTAGTTTTTTGGATCTGGTCTGTAACAATTACGAGCAATATGACCTACTCTTTGACATTTGAAACAAACAGGCCTCTCATTGTTACGATTTGAGTAGTGACTTTTAGGTCGTTGAACTCCTGGGTTAGGTTTATCCATCCTAGGCTTATCATCAGTTGATAGATAAGGCTTGCTAACACTACTATTACTAACTGGAAAACCTTGATTTCTGAGGTAATCATTGTATGTTACATTATTTAAACTTATACAAAGATGATCTAAGTCTAAAAATGTTTCAGGGTTCTTCTCAAATATTAGTTTGTTGCGCAAATCAGGATGTATTCCATTCTTAATAAAACTAACAAGTTGACTCTCAGTTAAATCACACTTTAATACCTGGTGGTTTATTTTTATTTCATGCACATATATAGACAAAGGTTCAAGGTGTTTTTGAGGTCGAAAAATTAAATCTTGTTTCAGCTTTTCCCTTAAGGTGATTGGCAAAAATGTAGTGATTATATTAGCATGCAACAAATCAATTGATTTTGATTCCCTCTTGAATTCTAATATTTTATTCACTAATGGTGCTGTAGAATAAATTGGTAGAATCTCATACAAATCTTGCTCCGATAAAGAAGTTTCATTTCGGACAGTAACTAGGTTTCTCAAAAACTGCAACAATGTGTTTGTTTCTAAACCATTACACACAGGAAAATTTTTTAAATAAATTTCCAATGGGTTTGACAACTTTGTAAAAAGGCTACTAGGACTTAGGCTACTATTTACAACTGTACATGAGTTTGGTTGATTATTTATGACTTGACCCGGCACATTTTGTTGAAAACAATCAATCTCTACTTTTTGAGGTGTAGATGAAGTGAAGTTTTCAGTTGGTGGAACTACCGATTTAGACTGATTTAATTTTTCCCCAATTATTTCATTCTCAACTATAGAGTTATTCAGCTCCTCTTCAAAATCCCCCATTTCCTGGTCTGAGAAGGTATGCATTGTTTTAAATTGCTCAAAACTATTTAAGATTTGCTGATTTAATTTGTCTAAACTAACTTTCTTATCTGGATCCAGCTTACATTGTAATAGATTAGTAGTCCGGTTTTGTACATGCACTAGTTTAGCCTTGATTTTAGCTATTTTGAGTTTAGTCACATTTTCCCTACACTGTTCAATTAGAGAATCAATTTGTTCACACTTTTCCCCAATTATAGTTATTTCCCCAGATAAAGTGTATGAACCTTTTAAATTTGTTAAATCGGTATTCTGGTTAATACAAGATCTTAAAGTTTTTCTTAAAGAGTCTACATCACTATCACTCGTTTCTTCCCCTCTTATTCTTATCTCGTACAGAAGTTCTTCTTTGTTTAGATAATTTAAATTGTATTTTGACATGTTGAAAATTTTCAGCCTCTATTTATTTGCTGTAGTTCTTCTAACATAGGCATAATCCTCAATAATCATGTAGGCCTATGTATTTCTCACTTTTACCAGCTTCTAATTTTAAATGATTCATTAGCAGAGTTGCGCACTTGTATACCCCTACCTTGTAGCCAATTAGGTAGTATACTTTAATTTAGGATGAATCTAATTTAAGCTGGTAGTAGAAGTGAGATAAATTAAAAGACAAAGTAGGCCAAAGATACATTTATTTTATGGATGTCAATTTTCTCAAAATAGACTTTCCAAATGAAATTAAATATGCAGTTGTTACTTCCCAAAAATTATACTAGATAATAAAATAGTGGAAAGATCTTACTTTAAACAGAGACACTGGTTTAATGGTCAGAACAGGCACTAGCAGATACCATGCAAACTAGAAGTGGTGCAAAAAGCTACTGGACCAATCATAAGAAGGTGAACAAGAAGTGGTAGTACCAAGAAGTGGTTGATTTCTGTCTGAAAACATCACACAAACCCAATAAAAACTATTCTCTATAAATTCTAATAATTAAAAGTGGATTTAAGATCTTTACAACTTCTTGTGAAAATGTGCTTCTCCTAGAACAAAACTCAACAGGTCTGTATAAACTTTACTTGTTTTCTTTTCTTGTGAAATGCATTAAAATTGATTTGAAAACTATTCATTCCTTTTCATCTTTTTCCAAAAGTGATTTCTACAAAGCTATATACAATAAATCAACTAAAATCTTATTACTAAACAATATTAAAACTACTTACAATTTTCTACAGCAACCACAACTTAGATGACCATATTTCCAGTGAACTTAAAACTGACAAAGTTGAACCAGGTTATCACTAACCACTACCAACCCTACAAAACTAAAACTTCTAAACTGCTGGTCACTCTTTCTTAATCTTTCTAGCCAATGATTAAATAATATTGATTTTGTTTTGTTATTTCAAATAAAAACTAACTACCATCGGTACACCACTAAGATACTATATTAGGTGATGTTAGGTGACTCTAGTATTTGTGATAAAAGGATATAATGTTCATATATTTTTAATGGCAACACTATGAGTCTTTGTGTTTTAAATGTAGGCTATATGCTCACATATCTAGACTGTATTTTATGACAATGTTTGTTGCAGGTGTCATGGTTGTCACAGTAGTGCATCAGTGTCAACCATCCGCATCCCCTATGCATGCAAACTGTTGTTCCAAGAACTGCAGTCCATGAACATCGTGCCGAGACTTACCTTGAAGAATTACTGTGATTAAACCACTGTTGTATAGTGGATTAAATACATTTTTTTACTGTTAATTGTTGTTTTTGTATGCTATTAAATAGTGTGCTTTACCCTTGACATCCAGAATTTACCATTTTATTTATGAGCTATCGTTTTTGGTTGTTATATGGTTATGACTGAAGGTTGGGGTCTGTAATTGACTGTATTTAACATTCCACTTTAATCTGGCTGATAGGTTTTACCTAGTAGTTTTCTTAATTTATTGGTGCTGAGTCACTATGAAGAGGTGGGGTTTGCAAGGAAATTCAAAATATATAAACACATTGTGACGGAGTTGAGTAACTTTGTGAGATAAAGAATCAGCCATATATGTTTGTTCCTGTGGTACTACCAGGAACAAACACTTATTTTAATGACGTGAAAGGCCCCGAGAAAAAACAATAAAAGATGTAAATAAGAAGGTTAAAAAAGATTTTTAATGTCTAGAAGACTGAGAATTATAAAACTAAGAGAGATATCCCAGCGGTAAGAAGCAATATTATTTTTGTTAAATCCGCCTTTAGACATTTCTTTGGAAATTGTTTACTCAATACGTAAAAATATTCATGAAATAATAAATCTAGAGATAAACATTATTAGTCCATTGTATTTATTTGTTAATAAAATCCATCAAAAATCTGCTCAACACCACTGGGTCCACAAATTGTCGAGTTAGTAGGGTTTTACTGTACAATGAAACATTCACTGTAAACACAGATTTCATTTTAAGTTTTACATATCTATATATATAAAATAAAATGTATGTTTGTATGTTTGTCCTTTATGGACTCCAAAACCGCTCGACAGATTGTAATAAAACTTTCAGGCATTATTTATCATTATTCAAGGATGGTTTGTGTGAAGTTTGGTGCAGATCCGTCAAAAGGGCTCCGCCCCAGTGGCTCTGGAGTTTCCCATGTTAACCTTATGAGTAGTCATATTTAAATGGAATTAAAGAATCTTAACAGCTGGTTCAACCAAACAATTTGATTCTGTGATGTTAAATAGCATTAAAAAGTTAATAGGTTTACCAACAGGGTGCAGCACTGTAATTTTTTTTAATTTATGAAAGGTGAGTGAGCGTAGCGAACGAACATCAACCTGGAGGTGAGTTAGCGTAGTGAACTAACTAACCTGAAGGCAAGTGAGCGTAGCGAACGAGCTCCAACCTAAAGGTGAGTGAGCATAGCAAACGAACTTCAACCAGGACGTGATTGAGCCATGCGAACGAGTTCATCTTGAAAATGAACGAGCATTTGACATAAAACCACATTAGGACAGGACGATGTCTGTCGGGCCAGCTAGTTTGATTATAAAAATAATCTTAGCCCCATCCTGAAATCAATATTTGATTATAAAATACAAGATGGTAACAGCAGTTTAGACTCCTTTCAAGTCCAATGGAGTTGACAATAATTATTTGACGATAATGCAACTTTTTGAACAGTAGTGCCTTCGAACACAATGCTGTAACATTACACGACAATACGATTGCAGCATTTTCTATTTGAAGGCACGCTTTAATACAGCCATCGTGACGTGATAGTAGACAATACAGAGTGGACTTGTCTATTCTTAAATGTGATAACATCTGCCTAGATTGTGTCGATCAATCGATTGACTGTCTAAATTTTTTTTATTTGCTTAACATTTTGTGTATGCTATCAGTAAATCCTTATTTATGTATATAAGAAAAAGTTGAGGTTCCACCCAAATTCTAATTATAGAATAACTTGTAACATCTACATTTATACACGAATAAAAACCTAGAGTAGTGAAAAATTGATTTATTGTTGTGATTGAAATTATGTAATAAAAGAACATAATTTTTAATATTTGGGGGGTTTTAAACTAAGAAAATTAGGACCAAGTCTTGTCTTATATTTTGTCAGGGGGGGTTACCGCCTTGAGAGAACCATTCCAGGATTCGCCTAAATGATAAGAAGACTACAAACTTCTTCAGAATGGTTGGTCTGATAGTAACAAGACCTCCCGAATGTGAAGCAGCATTATTATCAGTTAGATTGGTATTAGTACATGAAATACCTTATTACTAATTACTACATCCATAAGGTACTTAACTTAACGCTAAGTACAAATAACTTTCTACTAACTACATAACATACTTAACCTTAGACACATATCATGTTTAAGGGTTGTTTTACAAGGGTGGATTGTTAGCCTATTGCCTCAACCCCCAATATGAATGGAGGACCATACTTCTGGTCAGCGAGTCCATCGGACCTAGCCGGGAGATCTGACAAGCAGATCCACCGACCTTCCTCCTATCCGCCACCTGGGGACGCTCCGTATACGCTGAAGTAGGAAAGCGCACGGATACTTTATTACAAGATACATAAAATACTAACACTAAGTACAAAAGATACTTAATACTATAGATACATGGTATACTTAAAACTAAAATGTTTGTTCTAACTCGTACAGTTTCATCTTCTTCAGGACTTCTCTTCTTTTCTATCGCAACTTGTCTTCAATCGGCTTACAGTGTTGCTGCAGAACTTTTAAATTGCTTCCTCTTGAAGTTTCCCAGATATTCCAGCCCTTCATCCTATGTGCATTCATCTCCCACATTTCACCATGTTCCTCAATAATTTTCCTATAGGAGATCCTTTGGCACTCTGAGCAATCCTTTCAACTATGCTGATCCTTTTTGCTTCACCGAAGCAATATACACCAGGTTGCCTTGTAGCTTTATAACCTCTCAATTTTCCTTAGAAGTTTCTATTTGTTCGCTTCTTATAGTGATCTTATGCAAGTAGGTTCTTATGTAGCAGTAGTGTGACAAGAATAGACGAACATGCCAAGTTTTCACTGATCTTCCAGAACTGCTCTACTTGTTGGCTCTGGAGTTGAGCCAAGACACTTAACTTTCTTCAGTCTGTACTCCTCCTCTACATAATTTTTACATGAGGGGAAATATTGTTGTCTTTCATTCATTATTGAGCTGATGAATGAATAAAATTGATGGTTTCTATGGAAATATTTAATCACAGTACTGTCAATAATTGTCAACATGCTACAATTCAAGACGCTTGGACCTTGTACTACAGACATAGTAGTTAGAGACCTTTATTTCCTTACAATGCAATGTCAAAGCCAAATTAAAATAAAAATGCACCCGCCGCAGCAAACCTGGAGACTACATACACTACTACTAGTTCAAACTTGTCTGATTACATTTTTACTCAAATATTTCCTTAAGACATATTTATTCCCATTTTAAATAAGATCAATAGATTTAACGAGTGCTTAGGTTTGCTGCTACGGGGAAGGTAAAAACTGTTTTTTTAAATAGTTTTCATTTTTCTATAAGAATAACATGGGAATTTTAAATTACACTTCTTTTGTATTTTTTCCGTAACCATTAGGCATGCAACAGCGCTTCAATATACTAAATTATTTTTTTAAGCTCAATTAAATGGCTTAGAAATAAATTGCAAAATTTTTGTTTTTAGAGTAAAAAATGGGGAAAACCCATTTTCACCCCATAAACCCCCCCTCCTGTAGTCCAATCATGCTGGTTCGCGAACTCATTCGAATAAATGTAAGTTTACACGTTTATACCGAATTTCATCAAAGTCGGAACATTTTTGCTCGAGTTATTGTGCTAACGGACATATATATGAATTTGAACGGATGGTGTTTTTGGCCTCTGGGGGGACCTCAAAATTAAAAAGTAAATCGGTCCCAGGTCCAGCTCTTACCATGAGACCTACGGTAATAGCTTATTCCCTATATGGGAAATTCGCTAAAACAAAGTAGGTATTTGACTATTCAAATACCTATTTTGTTTTATATATTTATATATTTTGACTCTCTATAGAGTCTCCAACAGAATGTGCTGCTGACGATTGCTGGTTTAGGTTATAAACAAACTTTAATATTAATCCAAGAAGGGGGTAACTTGTTGCTAACTAATAAGGATTTCTTTTAGGATAGCAGGCTTATGTAAGTTAGTAAAAGTGATCTCTGACTCACGAAATAAAAAAAATATATATTCCTTTTACAAGATCCCTATCTTCCAAAGACTACCCTTCCCTAGATGAAAATGCTATCTGTGACAATTGGACCTAAAGATCTCTTACCTTCTCCAACCTCCTTTGGGTGAAAATAGTGACAGCTATAATGAAATATTCTGTTAAGTATTCTTTTGATTTATTTTGCCTTTAGTCTGTCTCCAAGAATTAAATCTAAGTTTTTACATTAAAATATTTATGTCATTAGTCTGTCTCAGTGTAAAATATTTAGGTATAACTCTTGACCAAAAAATAAAATGAAAATCTCATATCTGGTGCAAGAGACAGCAAATGGAATGAAAAACTCGTAAACTCAATTGGCTATTATTTATTTATTTTCCAACGGATGACGCCAATACATAAGAAGATTTAGATTATGATACAATTTAAAAGAAAATAAAAAAAAATGGCTATTAGGTACGCATTCAAAACTATCATTGGCTAAAAAAATTTTAGTATATAAATTTATGATCAAACCAATTATTGTTCTCATATTCGTTTGAACAGGGGCCCATTTCATAATAAAGTACAAACTAATATTATTAGTAAATCAGCTGATCGCCCAATGCAAATCTAATGGAAATTACAAGTTACAAGTTGTAACTTGTAACTTGTAGTTTATTATGAAATGGGCCCCAGGTTGTAAAATTAAATTCTCATATAAAAAAAGGTCTGCCTCCAACTCATGTTTAGGGATTTCAGAATATTAACATGGGCTTTTGTTGACATATTGTTGTTTTTAATTAATGTTCTGTGTTCGTGATCTTATATGTGTTGAGTGCTGTTGTGTGAAAACAAAGCTATTTAAGCGGAAAAAATGTATATTCCTGGGATGAAGTGTTTTACAATGGTTAACAGCTCTTTGCCGTTTAACAAGGTTTGACAACATTTGAAACTAATAAAAGGTAATGTAAAACCAAATATATTCCAATACAATCCATTTATTGCCATCAACATTATAAATACATGTATAGCAACGTCATACAGTTTTCATCACA